CTGCTATTCCTATTTAAACAACAATTCACTTGAAACTAGTACAGATACAGACAGGTGACAATGAAACAAGGTAAGTAACTAATCCTGTCAGCAATGAAACAAGCATTTTAAAAGCTATTTCTAGCTTGAGTCATCTAAGGTAGTACAATAAATGGAATAAACAAGAACTTGTTCTTTACCCAAATCAAAATCACACCAGTGAAAAGATCCTGGCATCTGTTGCACGAATTCTGTTGCTTCATAAATATACAAAGCTTTCAGCATAGGAACTCACACCCTGAAGTAAAACCCTTCTATGCACACAATTATAATGTGTGTAATATACAGTGAAGCAGACAGTCCTGTGTCAGACATTTAGCACTTATTTTTAAAAGATGGTGTCAATCGATCACAAGAAAACTACTCAGAAAGGTGATGAAAACACCACAAGATGAAGGGACAATAAAAATCACATATCGAAAGCTGTCCGATCACTCAGATATAATTATGAGAAATAATTTATGCTCAAAACCTCAACGAGTAAATAACTCTATCAGTGTGTGGTATATAAGATAAACAAATCTAATAAGAAATTATATTCTACCACAGTGCTCAAGTTTTCCATTTATATTGGAGTACAATCTAGTTATAAAGATATATCTCGTATTCAGGAGCATTCCAAATGATGGATGAAAAGTGATCCATAAGTGCTGAATGATCATCCTGCTTAGAGCACTCAAGTGTTATCCTAGTTTTGTTTGATTGATATCAGACCATATTTATTTAAGTTTTCCTAACATAAAAAATGAACCGATGGTGTTTCGAGATGCACTAAGTGGTAAAGTTGAATTAAATATACAGAACGGCTTCTATAAAAGTAAGAGGAAAATGCAGTAACGAATTAAAATCATATCGACTTCGATAAAAATAAAAGGTATCATGAACAACATATTGAAAATGTACGACGCCCTTAAAATTCAGTGAAATCAAGTAATCTACCTTATATTAGAAGTAATCATGACACAACCGTATACGAAGTTATGTGGATTATAAATATACATCAAGTAGAAACATGCTAAGAAATTTCAATGTTATACTACTGATCATTTAACCTCGCCTGGTTAACTAGTTCACTAGTTACTAGACGGTCCTAAGCCCTCATAAAGAGGGAAGGTTGGGCATACGGCTGGCAACCCTACCCCATAAAACCAATCCAATTGCTAGAGAAACTTCAAGCACAAACAAAATATAAAAAATAAAAACAAAATTATTCCTCGCTGGAATTGGAGAGACGAAATGACGCCAGTTGGTGAAAGCCCACAGGAAGCCAATTGACCAGGCCGATGTTTCTTCTCTCCCTCGATGAAAGCGAGAGTAAACATGGGGACATGGAGTGTCCGCACCATGTTTGAACCCAGCAAGGCAACCCAGATTGCAAACGAGATGAGAAGGTATCACATTGAAGTGCTAGGAATTTGTGAAAGCAGATGGAATGGGATTGGTGGACTCTCGAAACTGTCAACTGGAGAATCAATAATCTACTCCAATATTGTCACCCACACGACAACCAGACGAGCATACTGGGTTTGGAGTGGCTATCATGATGTTCCCAACAGCATTGAAGGCTTTCTCTCATGCAGTGAGAACCAATCTCCCTACTCCTGCAGAATCACGACAACAAGATTCAAATCAAAGGAAGGAAAGTCACAATCCTGCAATACTACACTATGCACCTACAAATAATGCAGAGCAAGAGAAAAAGAGGAATTCTACAGACAACTCCAATCAACACTGGACAAGACCTCAGTTGGCGATATCAAAATTCTAATGGGCGACATGAATGCCAAACTGGGAGGGGACAACACAGGAAGAGAACTAACCATGGGTCGAGAAGTGCTCGGTGAGGTGATGAACGAGAATGGAGAACCATTTGCAGAATTCTGTGCATTCAACGATTTGGTGATTGGAGTCAGGCAGTGTGTTCAGGCACAAGGATGTCCACAAAGCGACATGGATTTCACCAGATGGACACACTAAAAATCAAATCGACTTTATCTCAATCTCAAGAAAATGGAGATGCAGTCTACTTAACACAAGATCAGGAGGAGGAGGAGGAGGAGGAGCAGATGTGGTCTCACACCACTCTTTATCTAGTGCAGGGAACCTTCCAAATCAAGTTGTAAGCCTTCAAGGAAGCTGGTGATAGACCTCAGTTCAAGTACAACACTCGGAAACTGAAGGACGAAACTACAAAGAAAATCTTCACACCAGCCAGCCATCAAGACAAAATAGGAGACATCGAGCAACATCCCTGAAGAAACCTGTGTGGGAGAACACTGGAAGTCTTTGAAAGAGATGTGGAAAGAAACCTGCACAACAATATTAGGAAGGAAGAAGAAAGAAGACAAGGAATGGATCTCGATGGATACCTGGAAGCTGATAGAGGAGAGGAGGATGGTGAAGCAGAAGATAAACCAGTGCAAGAACGCTCAACGACAAGAGGAACTGAGCACAATGTATAAAACACTGAACAAAGAAGTAAAGAAGAGTGCACGCAAAGACAAAAGACACTTCTACGAAACACTAGCAAGTGAAGCAGAACAGGCTGCAGGTAGGAGACAGACCTGACAACATTGTATCAAATAACCAGGTTGCTATCAGGGAAGAGATCAACACAGATGAAACCAATAAAAGATGAAGAAGGAAATTTAATTACGAAAGAAGAGAAAGAAAGGAAACGATGGGCCGACCACTTCAAGAAGCTCTTGAATCGACCACCACCTGGACTTCATCCACAAATACCACCTGCAGCCCAGCCGCAGAACTACAAGTGAACATAAATCCCCCAACGAAATGGAAGTCCTGAACGCCATAAAGCTACTGAAATGTGGGAAAGCAGCAGGACCAGACGGGATACCGTCAGAAGCCCTGAGAACAGATGCAGAGACAACAGCGGACATGCTCACACCACACCACTATTGCAGAAGGTGTGGAAGGAAGAGAAGGTACCTGACGATTGGAAGAAGGGTTACCTTGTCAAACTGGCGAAAAAGGGAGACCTCAGTGTTTGCAAGAACTGGCGCGGAATCACGCTCCTGTCCACCCCAAGTAAAATATTAGGCCGCATCATCCTGGAGAGGCTTAAAGATGCACTGGATTCAGAACTACGACCGGAACAGGCAGGCTTCAGGAAGTACAAATCATGTGCGGACCAAATTGCAACGCTTCGTATCGTCATAGAACAGAGCATAGAATGGCAATCAGCTCTGTACCTCAACTTTATAGACTTTGAGAAGGCCTTTGACAGCGTCGACCGACAAGTAATTTGGAAGCTGCTTCACCACTACGGAGTACCGCAAACCTTTATCCGCCTCAGTCAGCAACTATATGAAGATGCCACATGCCGGCCAAGTAATTCACAATGAGAAGCTCAGTGATGCTTTTGCAGTGAAGTGAATACAGGAGTGAAACAAGGTTGCCTACTATCCCCCATGATATTCCTTATTGTGGTGGACTGGATCATGCAGCAAACAGTGGGGAGCGACAAGAGGGGGATACGCTGGACGGTGGAAAAGAACCTAGAAGACTTGGATTTCGCCGATGACTTGTGTCTGATGTCGCATAAACTTGAAGACCTATAGGCGAAAGCAAACAAGTTGACAGAAGAGGCGAGGCAGCTAAGACGGGACTTCAAGTGAATATAGAGAAGACAGAGGTGGTGAAGATACCGCACCAACACCAACGTCAAGTCAGTGCTTCTGTATGGTTCAGAGACTTGGCGCGTTACGAAAGGGATTTCCAATAACTACAGACATTCATCAACAACTGCTTACGCTCGCTACTGAAGATCAGATGGATCGCCAGAAAGAATAAGCAACAAGGAACTCTGGGAACGAACCAACCAAGAACCTATCACCCAACAAATATGCAGGAGGAAGTGGAGATGGATTAGGCATACACTGAGAAGGCTGACTGTGGACATCACGCGTCAGGCCAGTCACTCGAGTGGAATCCCCATGGGAAGTGACGAGTTGGACGTCCAAGGTGAGGGTGACATGGAGGAGATCGTGCGAAGAGGAAATGAGAGGTTGTGGGCTGTTGTGGAACCAGGTTCAAAAGATCTCAGAGAACAGAGGTCACTGAGACGTGCTAGTGAAGCCCTATGTTCCACTAGGAACCCAAGGGACTGATAATAAATATATTACTACTGATCATTTGCCTTAGTAGTAGAATTCTTTCATACCCTTTAATAAACGAATCTTACTCCTTTCAAGCCACTACAAGAAGCAATAGAATGACTCAAATATGCAAGAAAATCTGTCCTTGCCATCGATACGAATTTCATTGTATTGAGCCTCTCAAACAGTAATCCATCACAAAATTCCACTGAAAATCTTTTCAAAACCTAACATGTACACCTAATTAGTCTTAACTAACTGTATTCCAAATGAACGGGTTTGTTTAGATCAACAACTTAAATATGAAAAATATGATGAGTTATGCACAATCCTGATGTGAGTACAATTACTGTTCAAGGAAATGTTGCAATTTTAGCTGAAGAAAGATAATAAATAGTGCAGGAACAGCCGATGGGAAAGAAGACGCTTTCCAAGTGTCTCACTGAGTAGATCTATAGTATGACTCAACTTTTATAGGTTCAGTAATTAGTGGATAATAAAAAGATACTGAATCCATACTAGATTGTTCATTTTTCGAAGACAAAGATAAATTTCAGTTACCAAACAAATATATCAGGATAAATATTAAGTTTTAGCCTTGTAAGTTAAATGTGATTATCTAAGTAAACGTTTTTACAATTCACTAAGAAAGTATGCTTTCACATTTACACAATGTCAAACAGTAGCAAAAGTATTTTAGAATGGAAAAGAAAGTTAAATTTTCAATTGTAAACACGAGCTTGATGTGTATGAAAGCAGAATCTCAAAATGCACTAAGAGCATTTTACTGTTAAAAGAAAGGTCTTGTAATCAAGAGAATAAACAATACAAGGCAAGATATACCTAATGTAACTCCAATTTCAAAAGTTTGTTCAATTTTACCGGTTTGTATATATAATTTATTCAATCCAGTCCATGCATAGAATGCATCATTCCAACATGTATCTAAATCACAGTTTAGTTTTGCATTCAATACTTCCTCCGTTGGTACAGATATTTCTGAAAACATAATTATTGTACTTAAATAGAAATTTTTTACATCATTTACAACACTTGAATTTCTGCAGACAGATGGATAAACTACGGAATCACACATAAATTGCCAATCATCCTGTGAATATCTATAAAAAATAAGTAGTATGTTTTGTCACAATTTTTGATTAAAATTTACAGAAAATATCCTATGATACAAATCCAGTGAATATAAATAACTCACCAGATAATACCTGAGATAATACTCATCTTAGGAATGATACAATTTTAATAAACATTATATTCAAGATTAGGCAGCGCTGTTCCTCATTGAATTAACTAAATTCTATTCAGAATGTTACTAAGTATAGCCTACCTAGTCTTAGCTCCTCATCTCACATTTAGCATTTGAACTATTCCTATGTAACAAATAAATTAGAACGTACAGTTAGCTAGGTGTATCTTTAGATACGAGGACATTCATCGGCTTGGTCTCCAAAAGGGGAAGTGCAAGTGGAAGATCCTATCTTAGCGATCCCAGTAAGCAAACGGTATGGCATAGATGATGATAGATGTTTTAATGTCACACATAACCTATCAAAAACAATACCACTTGTAGCTCACCAACGACTGCTCAACATAGCTGAGGCTGTTGCAATAAACTGATCAAACCTATAAAGGAACATGTTCAAGAGTTGTCCCCCCCTGGACCGTCAATGAACTAAACGCTACTATTTATTTGTTGTCTTCTCTTTCAATATAACATTCTTCATCTGTACATACATCACCTCAGTGTTGACACATTGAGAAAGAAAGATCGGTCTCCCTACACTGCCTAACTCGCATTCCATTTTGAAAATTCATTCACTTCAAACTTGAGTTGTTTAACAGTATACAACTGCATTTCATAATTGTCGAACGTGATGAGAATTTATTGAACGAAGTATTCTTCATTCAGATTGTTTTTAATTGACATTATGGGAATCCTGGAGTGACAGTTTACTTGTTGAAAATACCTTCAAACCATTTTTAACCTATCCTTTTGTTTGCTTCTCTTGAATCCAAAGTAAAAGATTCAATACATCATATTCTCTGTGGAACTTTACGAAATTACTAGGCCATTGGTGGTCGTTTTCAACTGTTTCAAATAACATCCTGTACCTCTTCCTAGACGAAATTTCAAGCTACTCTACCATGACTATTTTTTTAACCCCGCAGCAATTTATCTAAATCTTCATCAATCTGCAGTGAACAATTTATTCATCGCTCATTCGCTAAGGGTTACTTCTCCTACTATCTGGAGATAAGTATTTAAATGAATGGTAGATGGCATGCTTAGATGTATCTCAAAGTATTCTTTCAAAGTTTTTGAAACACAACTTACTCAACTGAAGCAGAAACAATTTGCTTGATAGGTATTCCTTGTAATTTTCCTTGAATCGCGTAGATTATCTTGAGATATATAGCTGATGTGATATTAGGACAGAAGCCAGCTGGAGCACCGATGGCAGATGAATTCTGTACTGCTTCTGATGATCTTAAAAGAGGATCACTTCTGAAGGGAAAAAACAGGATAGCTTGATAGGAGATGTCAACACTTTGTTAAAAAACTAGTTATAATACTTTTCGCCAGCCAAATACAACACTGGCATTTCAATTCAACATTGTTTAAAATACCACTTAAGACCAAGACTAACTGTTTAGTCACATCATGTAAGAAATGTCATGTAGATTAAAATAGATTAAACGCTAATGGAAGTGTACTTGGTTTGTTGGTTTTCGGAATGCAATACTGCGTATAAGGTTCACATCAGAACCATCAATTGATGACCTGCCAACAACGGAAAACAAGTAAGTAAATTCTATGATCTAGTTTGAATTTTAGTTCAGTAGCTGACCCTTATTGCAGCAATTTACAAGATGCTGACTTTAACTATGACTAATTAGTACTTTTTAACGTTGGTTTACTCGATTTGTTCCAAGTTAGTCAGTGCAGATAGAAGGTGAACACTGACTTGTTTTATTTTTGAGGTTACAGATGATGATACTTGTAAGTATAATAATGATTGCTTTATACAAAATTTTCTTCTGTCTGCAATATTATACATTTCAATTGATAAATATATAAACAAAATAGTTTTAAAAATAATGACAAACAGAAATGATCTACTTAGATACTTAAAAACTATTACAGCAGGTCTTTGCAAGAACTTTCGGTGCTAAATGATACCAGCTACTGCATAACAACAATTTTACTTTTGCTTTGAATCAATTTCATTGGATATATGTATTACAAGTATCAATAAACAACAACTGATACCCGTTGCACAAGTGATGGTTGCTATGCCCCAGTAGCCTAGTGCATAACACTTTGGAGTTTGAAGCGATGAGTACTGGATTAATATCTCAGTGGGAACAACATCACTTACTGGGATACATGTAGACCCAGCAGACGAGTCCCAAATGGGACGAAACGCATGTCCTGGATTTCACTGCTAGCCGCTAAGTAGACTACAATATAAATTTCATTGTTTTTTCAAAACTTGGGATAATTTAATAAAAAGTGCTATGGCATTTTGTGCAAAAAAAAAATTTTAATAAACTCTGTTTCAGTTGAATTCATTACCATATAGGTGATGTAAATGATTGTTACTGTTCGAATGTATCATGAAAATCTATAAGTGGAGAGAAATCGAAGTTGGGATGCAAGAGGCTCATAACTATATAACTGCATGTGTATTTACAAACATTAAATATGTTGAATAAGCAATTTTGAGAGTGATTGTGAAGGCCACCTCAATGACTGGTGAGATAGCCGATTACGTTTCTTTATTCTATGAAAAACCACTTTCTAGCTGGAATACAGAATCTGAGTGGTTATTTCAGCAGTTGCCAGAATGGTCTTTAAAGTAACTCTATTAAGAAACTTCTTCGGTTATCAGACATTTTAATATCGTATATTATATACATATTTATACTCCACTTACTTGTGAATAAAAATCCAGTCTTTTGATGAAGTTTTAGATGCTTGTGGATAGACTGCAATTACTTCACTTGGAATAAACAGATTTAATCTAGCAGTAGTAAGACTTCTACAAATGTTTTGGAAAAATAACACATAAAGTATCAAATGGAGGCGCTTTAATAATATTATCACACGACATTACAAATTATATTTTTAATCAAAGATAATAAAAAGTGATGAATTCTAAACTGAATCTGTTTGTATACCATTCAAATGTGTTTCATGAAGTTTTATAAACTACAACAGAATTAGATTTTCTATTTAAGAATTAAAAAGTGTCTCCAAATAGACAGATTGGATATGAGGCAAGAGTATACCAGTTGAAATTGACAAACATCACGGATACATCGAAAAAAGAAATGAATCAGAATAAGAGATGATAGTAGAAGGAAAAGGAATAAAAATATGTGAAAAAGGTGTTAGTTTAAAAACAAAAAAGGATCAGAGGTGTATGGAGTTCTCAGAATCATAAGGAGTTAATGTATTCTCACTAGTTGTCAATTTTGAGTTTCTTAACCTCATCCAGTGGTTCTCAACTTATAGGTGAACCCAGTCAAACAATCTGTGCCTCTATGTTCAGTCACAATTAAGACTGAAAGATTTCATAGGTTGGTGCACAAACATATAAAAACGGAACCAGATCAAAAAAATGTAGAATCCAGTGGATACTATTATGCACAAGTTAAGAATTCCATATCGGATCTAATAAACTAGGTGACAATAAAAAATGGTTGGTTTTGATGTAACTACCCGTTACACCAAAATACCGATTGACATGACTCTGGAGTCCGTTGGAAACGTGCTCAGTAATGATAGTGAGCTTCCATATTGAGCTACGCTGTCAGTTGAGGAAATCATGTTAGAGGAGATACGACTGTGTTGATGTCTACATTTTTTTAGGTTTCAAAATAAAATATATATAAACAAATTAAAACGGTTGTCATAAAATCTCCAGTATCGCTTATCGTCGGGGACATATTTATGGATAGTTGGGATAGTTAGTCTCATTCCAATTATGTGATTTAGATATTAAAAAGACATACTGATAGTGTTGAAATCGGAGAACATTTAGAGGTTCTTTACACAGGATGTAATACAATCTCGGTCACCTTTAATTAGAAAGTGATAAAGGGGAATTAGCGATGTTAGGCTGTGGGAAAAAAGAGGACGAGGTGTACGTTTAGACACTAATTTATGTGGAAATCCTCCTCATTGAAATCGCTACTTAGACTTCAAGTTATCTCACTGTGTATCAGATAAAATAGGCTTAATTAGATGTCTCAAATGTAAGGCAAAACAGAATATTAGTAGGACAGAGAATCTGCGACAAGAAATTTGATACATTAGGGATATTTTACGTTTCAACAATTACTTACTTAAATTTGCCAATAAATCTATAAGAAACTGTAAGGAAACTATGAGCAGTAGTGGTGACACAGGTGTTAATAATAATAATAATAGTAACGACGACACTGTAAAGGGAGAATTCAAAACGTTTAGGATGTTATCATACAGAGAAGGCACCTTAAAAACTTTACGTGAGATTTTCAATGAGATTCGAATTAGATTGGCAGTTAAACTTAAGAACTAACCTAGAAACAAGCTTCGTAGGCTAAAACATTTAGCTGGCACCATTAAATCAAATAATTTCATTCTCTTGTAGTTACATTGATAACCAGGGTCTTAAGTTTTTTGGAGCACAAAACTTATCTAAATCAAGATTGGTACACTCTAACAGGATAAGGAATCTAAAAAAAGCTTGGCTATAGTTATGCATGAGCTAATGTACAAACACGCAATAGAAAGGGATAGAATAGTAGCCTTTGAGTATTGAGACAGATTGATAACCGATTCTTTGTGTAGCAAATTGACAATAAGTAAATGCAACAGGAATGGCTCTATACCTGTTTCAGATATATAGAAAATTCTACTACCTTTGTTACAGAGAAGAAGAAAGAATTAAGAATATTTGAGCCATGTCGTGATTTTAAGGTTACTTCGATATGAATGTGGACAAGTGATGTACGAAACGATATCCAGCAAATATTATATTTCACTATGAAATATATTGGATAAACGAACTAAAAATGGAATGAATGAAACGTAACCAAGCCATCATCATATACATCTCAGTGTAATTTTAATTGTGTCTAAAACAAACTGATGAGCTTTGAAATTAGTTAAATGGTGTTTCACAGTGTAAGGGTAATTATAAATGGGAAATCGTGATTGGCTCAAAACAGCAGTTAATAGAGGAATAAATTTCCTTCAAAATAAGATGAAAGTGTAGCATTTCAAGTTGCTGCACTTTGCAGTAGAATTCAAAGAACAAGTGGATAAAAAAGATTTATATCAAAGTGTAAAAAAGTGTGTAATAGGAGAAAAAACAAACAGATAAAGGTTAATGGAAATATTAACTAATTTGAAGATGCTGAAGCCATCTTTCATGCCCTCTTGAAAGCTTCAGTCAGGCAGCCTATATCCCCCTACATGCTACAAACCAACAGTCATGAAGTTCACAGAGTGCTGCCATACATTGGTCTGATCATCCTTAGTCTTCTTCTAGTCCAATTCTACATAGGTCAACGTTACACATCGAAGCTAGCAGTGGTTTGACATATGTAACACATGCTCAAGCCTTCTCTGTTGGTGAAGGTCCATAGATATTTGCATATTCTGGTTTAACGGACGACTGCGTTGGGGCTCTGTACACCTGAAATTTGGTAACCAAACAGAAATTGAGATAGCTGCAGAGCTGATGAAAGGTTTAAAAGTGATGCCAAAATCATTTGACCTCGCTTAACTTTGTAATATTTAAATAATAAAATTTCAAGCTGACCATAATTTATCTCTTACCTCAGTTTATCACAATTTTCGAAGTCATTTAAATTAAGTAGAACACGACAAGAACTGACTGTGTTCTTACCGAATTTAAGTTGGTCTACTTCTGCATTATCACATAACATATCTGGACCTAAAAAAAGAAATTAAGAAAGTATTGGTGATGAGATAGGCAATTCATTATTGAGGTAAATTATGTTTCATCTATAGATTCCGTTCAAACTTCATAATAATCATTGCACACAGCATTGATCTTAGCTCACAAATTCAATCACAGTGAATCATATTATAAGTTGTTTAGTGACTAAGTTGCAAAGTTTTCTCAGCAGAAAGCAAAGGAAAGTAGTTTCACAATGACCTTGTATTGTATCACTTTTCATCTTATATAGGTATCTCTTAATCGTTTAAGATTAATTATGCTGGGTGGTATTGACTGGAAATCATGTACTACCCTCCTCAGACTGATGCACTAGTCCCAGCATCACTGGTTCAACAGGAGGTTAATGGTAACCAAATCAAAAGATGATAACATTTCATAAATTCACTGACTGATTGTTTAGGCTGCGTAGAGTGGTGTAGGTTACCTTTCTCAAGTTTTCTAAATGCTGGAAGGTAATGCTGTAACATCTTGGCCATTGTAACTAGAAATCAGTTGAAATATTACAACCATATTTACTTATAAGCTTGCTCACAATCTTGATTATTGTAGTTATTCTACTACTACTCTCACCTATCATATCCTTCTAACTCATTCTAATATTTTCTGATTATTTTTGAGATCCTCTTTTTGTTTTCTTGTGAAAAAGGCAAACTGAGCAGTTGACATTTCCATCATTATTCTCGGTTTTCTACCTTTTTTCACTAATACTGAGTTAAATATATCCAACTGCTTTCAGTCTACTGTGGCATAAATATTAGGCAATTTAACTAGGAATGTTACAATTCGTTTGGTAGTGGCTAGTAGTTTAATCCACGAGGTGCGTTTCGTTCTGTCTAGGACTCGTCAGCTGGATGTACCTAAATTAATGTTAGTTAGGCAGCCATTGGCAAGTGAAAGTATCAAAAAGTCACTATATCATCTTTTCATTCATCTTTATCATCACGTATCCACTACATTTTTTTACAATCAGACACTGGACTAGGGGCTTCAATGACTAGTATATACCCCATTCTGTATACATTGACAGAATACAAAAATTCTGATGTACTTCACAAGTTCAACTGGTGATAAACATATCAGCTGAGATAACAAGAATCTGACCGTTGCGTAATTGCAATCAACATTATGGTTGATTGAGTATAAATTATATTCAAAATGGTGGGTGTCATATCGTAATAATATCAGAGGCTGGTTTTATCAACTTTTTTAAACGCGTTAGATAGCAAGATAGACACAGATCACAGTACAATCTTACATAAAGACTTATCCACTCACGTTATCTTACAAAAGTACCGAAAAAACCAACAAAGGAAACTAGAAGATATTAAAATAAGCAACAAAGACATCGGTGTGCACTGCTGAAGAATTGCGAACTAAGACGAAACAGCTATCCAGTTTTCATAGGTTTTTAAAGATTCGTCGGTTGATTTTATTCCATGATTTAAATTATTTTCAGATTAATTAATCCTTACAAATCAACTACTGATAAAAATAATTTATCGGTACGGAGGCAATAAATTTGAAATATTACTATTGCCAAAATTCATAGTTAACTACACAGAATGAATGCTTCCAAGTCATTGCAAGTGACTTTGGGCTACGTTACCCAGTGCCCATAATCATTGAGTTCATGGGTCTTCAAGATACTTCCTTAAGTCATCAAAGAATATCAGCAGTCAAGCATCAGATTCACACCCTATTAAGACTCATGTCCCTTAACAACTTCCATCAGAATCGTTACATATTTCAGTCAGTGTTCCAACCAGGGCAACTTTAGATAGTCCAATTAAAGTCATTGGGTTTTGTTTATAATTACTGTAAGGCAAATTCCTACCTGTTTTCACTGTACCCGATATACTGTTTGTTTCTGCATTTGTCTGGACAAGAAAACGTTGTGTTGGCAAGGATGTGACTTGACCGGTAACAACAATATCATCCAACTCATAACCTAAATGTAATTTTTGAAAAAAGAACCAACTTCAAATTGAATAGAAGCAAATAAGTCAGTCAGTTAGTTAACCAGTAAGCATTTGCACAATGTACTCGGTAAAAAGTAAAAATAACAGAATTATGGTAGTGAAGTTTCCACAGAAAAATATTTCAACTAATGGGAGGGATCCAAAATTATTGTGTATGTTTACTTAAACTGATGAAGAAATGTGTAATCTGTTTCGCAATTAGCTGTATATTTGTGTCGTAGCCCACCTCATTTACTTCAGCTCTAGTTCTTAAGTAAGTATTTATAAACTGAGTTTAGATTAGTATACTTCGTATGCTTTTAGTGAAAAAGCCGATTATGCAATAACCGTTTTTCATATCTGATATCAGACTAGTACAACTTATATTGTTAAAAGAAATTACATATGAAGTGCAAAGTGATTTAACTTGGTTGTATAAATGACAGTGGAAATCTGAGTAATAACCTTTAGATCCCACCCTTGATAGTCCCTCAGTTCCTCAGTAAATGGAACAGGAGGTAACATAACAAGAGGTGTATTGTAGCGTCAAAATATGCACAAAATATAACCGGTTATATAAATTAAAGTGGCGTTGACTATTTCTCTCAGGCCTTCACCTCTTCACCCAATCTGATATTTACACACAGGTTCACGTGCTTTTGCTGGAAACTTGAGAGCAATGCTTTTGGTTGTGAAAGGTTTCAAGGACTTAGGGTTTATGTAAGACGAAAACGTGGCCACGGTGGTAGATTATAATTCCACATTAGATTGTTTATCTGACATAGCACATAGTGACATAAGGTCATTTACTGGATGACGTTTCGAACACGGTTTATTGCTCATATTCATATCAGAGTAACCGTATGAATTTCAAACTCCCTTTTTAAAGTTTGAAGGTTAGAGCTTGGAAAGTTGTACGATCAGTTTGATATGAATATGAGCAATGAATTCTGCTCGAAACTTTATCCGGTAAGTAATACTGCTTCACCATGTGCTACATCAAATAAGCGTTGTAATCTGGATGTATGGCTTCGTTTGTGGATCTCACTAGTCTTATCGCACACATTAATACAAATGATATTCAGAATTATTAACTGGACAAATACTTACACCATGTGAAAACAGTTTCAGAGATGATTAAACCAGTGAAAAGTAAAAGCATCTTCAACAGAGAGACGCTTATAGCAGGGATGATAAAATTTCATTGAATAAGGTAAGATTTCATAGGGGATGAAGCAGTATATATATATATATATATATATATATATATACATAAGGGAAGACTTACAATTACCTGTGAATACTGTTGAAGTAATGCTTGGTAACAATATTCTTAAATAGTTTCATATCCTCCTAAATACCAAGGTACAAATTTACCTGTCCATGTACTTCTATGTAAGCAACCCTGTCCTGTCGAACTTGATAAACTGAAATTTTACATTGTTTACCTTCGTTAACACGCTAAAAAAGGCTACTGTTCCCTATCTTTTTTAGGCTAATGTATAGGTTTTCAGTTCTACCTGACTGTTAAGATATCAGTTATTAGAGCAACATTTGAACCCATTAATCACTGACTGAAAGTCAAATATCCACAACTCTATAGAACGGATTCAAAAAAAAGAGGTACCTTGTGGAAACTAAGTAAACATTAAGGGTAACTAGATTACAGTATTAAAACATATATTTACAGTGAATTGCCATCGTAGTTACATGAAATAAAAAATCTTTGTTTGACAATACCCCTTTAAAAAACACTTGTAACAGTTGTTATTTAGGTAACCCGATTCATAAACAGCCTTAGTGTTATAGTCATCTTTAGGTTTATGAACAGTCACCATCATGCAGAAAAGTAGTGAACAGATAAGTTATTCCAAATTCAACTGATGCCTGTTTCAAAAAGGTGGTCTTTATACAGACAAATTTCTTCTGACAAATAAGAAAGCTGACTTATTCACTTAATGAGTTACTACTAGTACTTGCTTTCAAAAATCAGGGTCTGCGTGACAATTGAAAAAGATAGAGCATATGACTAATATCGATAAAAAGTGGCCTAAGTGGAAATTATCATTTTAAGTCATCAGTCGTTAAGGTGAAAGTGTTAGATTTAAACTCTTGTTTCATGTCACTGTGTGGTCAGGAAAGTCCTTATTGGATAACTTATCTAACAGTTAACCAATCACAATAAATATACAACTTTCAACCCAGTGATTTTATACTTTGATGGAAATTGTATTTAAATGATGTATTTTTGTAGAATGAAGTGTCTTCCTCATAGCCACAGGCCAATCTTCAACTGCTGACTTTCGTGGCTCAGTGAAGCAAGTGGTTCTGAGGGAGAACTATTGCTGTTCGTGTCCAGTCCAAGTGTCCTATCGCTTTATATATCATTTGCTTTCTTATTACTATTCACTCGGTAACTTCATATATGGTTTGAATGGGGCTAACATATTGAAACCTAATCCTCATCATAACTGTTGATCACATTTTTAACTTGTCCTAACCTTTTTTCATTTCATCTCATGGCTTTGTGTAAGTTTTGACTACATTACTTTTATTTCTTTATTCTCCATCTTGATACGTGTAGGTACCAGAACACAGTGATGCCTAGTCCAGTGTTAATATTTACAAACTGACAACCACTAAAAGCCAGTCTCATTCCATAAGACGTTCAAGGACAGGATTAGTAAGCTTAAATAAAACTAATTAGCTTTATCTCCATATAACTTTCTTTCAGAAGACGTTTTTACAGACGTGGAAATGGTTGATCACTGAATGACTCAATGGTAGAGACACAAAACCACCATCCTGAGATAACCTTCTAAAATCACTCAAAACAAAAACAAGTAATCAACCTACCAAAAAATGAGAAGGCAAATTCGTATTAACTTCACCATCCAATTCGGTAGTGTGTACAAAATTAACAGAATATTCTTGGTAGTAAACAATTTCTGTAGATGTTACAGATAAGTTAGCCAGGTATACTTGACCTAGTGCTTGCGAAATGCTTCCATTAGACCAAACAAATCTGATAAAGTCATTATGAATAAAAATTGAAATAATTTACTGATAACCTATCAAATAAAAGAACGTCTGAATAAAACAAAATCGATTATTTATTTATGCTTAAATATTTTAATAGTTTTAATCTAAAAAGGAATTATCATTCAGTACTGCTAAGGAGTATAAAATTCTTCACTTAAATGAATTTCGGACATTGTGATTTTTTTGTATTTGAATAAAAAAATATCAACATCCAGTTTCATAAAGTCATTTTATTCATATACAATACAAATGAGTGTGTAGTAAAGTCTTAGCTAGAGAGTAGGTTAAAAAATCTTCGAAAACTATAAATTTCTTCTCAAGTTTTGAACACTTCTCAATGTTTACCTTCAATGAATAGGAAAACTAATTCTAAAGTACCTTGAAAAATAACTCCATGATTTCATGGAAGTCACCTTTAACCTATAGTTGCACAAGATTTTTTATCGAACTAGATAAATATTTTTTTAAAATATGTTTAGCTGAGTCAGTTTCATTATCAAGCGAGAGTTGAACGTCTGTCAGATTTTAATGTCTATCAGTATTTAACTACAAAGCTATAAGCTAGTTGTAAGTTGAAGGAGTTGCTTCATTTTCATGTGAACAATACTTAGGTTAGTAGGATCAACGCATAAGTTCTGTATCTAGTTTCACAAATCTTTTAAAATGTTTACCAACTTTGAAAGATGACTTAGATAATCCACCAATGCGACATCACTGAGAAGAGTTATGATGTCAACACCGTTTACTATGTAGTAATTAATCCATGTAACTAAATCAGTCCCAAAAATGTTTAGCTGCTATACTAAATAATTTCAGCGGTGATGTGATGGACTCCAGCACAAAGTCAAATATATCCAAGCCAATGAGAGGGCTTTGTTTTCATTCAGGATAAAGAGAGGTCTTGAAGTCGGTTGACAGGTTGTCGGAAACTAACATTAAGAAGCCGCCATCAATTGTTTATCAATAACTAACTTTCAAACCATGCATCTTCATTTTTCTGTTCCAAGGATTTTTATTCTTTGTTATCAGAGCTAAGTGCGGTCTACCTTTGGACCGTTCCTGGAATAAGAAAGTGATTTCTTTATCCATTTTAATAAAGCTCGTTTTGAAGAAAAACTGAAACAGTTATGATCTGCAAAGAAATCGATTATTTGTGGTGTATATGAACACATAATAACACAGTAAGAAAGAATTCTTATCATTCTCACTTTAATCAGTCTGGAAAATGATGAATGTTTTAAATCAGTATCATTGTAACCTATTCTCTTACATATCCTTCCCTCTATCTAGTATGTCATATAAATAAATACCTAGCAACATGAAAGCCAAAGGGGAATACTTCTTATTCTCTTAATCCTTCTACATAATCAGGCGTCCAGTTATATTACATTCAAGGAGAAAGGATGTTATGACAGATTTGAAGTCTGTCGTTATAATCAGTATGTTCTCTGTACTCAATTGTTACTTAGGAACTGAAACAAATTTAACTGGTACTTTACAGCCAGACTATATGTATAAGACACAGTTACATATGAAATAAATAGTGCAGAGTTTTGAATTAATATAGTTGATATCTGCGATTATCTAGATATAAAAGTATCAAACAGAATAATCTTTGCTAAACTAAAGTCCTGTTTTGTTTTAGACATGATATAATATCCACTTTACTCTGATTTATAATTTCAAAACTTTAAACTAAGAATCTCAAACGTTTGACATAAGTGTGTACTGAAATCTTAGAACTGTTCATTTTGAGAACTATAGGATCTCAAGTTGGTATTAATCATAGACTGATATCGGTTGGAGAAACACTAGCAACCTGGGAGCAATGGACAGCAATTTCATCCTAGCTCAGGACTCAGCAATAGGCACCTGTGACTCTACCGGGGATCGAACCCGTGAAGTTCGGGTTTCTTAGCCAGTATATAACTATTGGCCCACTAAATCAGGACCCAATGGTCCACACTTCCTGCTTCTGTACTGAGTTCGATCCCTGACGGAGTCATAGGTGCGCACTGTTGAGGAGTTCCATACTAGGACGAAATGACTGTCTAGTCCTGCTAGGTTTTCAATATTTCTCCGACTGATGTCCGCCTATGATGAATGATAACCTGAAACCAATAAATAAATCCCCCGAACCTCCAAATCGAACACAGGAACAATAACCAAAATGATTTTATATAATCCTGAGTGCTTATAATTTTATGTGAACCCTAACGTACATAATATCAGATCATACTGCATTACATCTTTTTATGAGTGGTTAAGAAGAGTGGATGAGAAGCTTAGTTTTAGCTTTCTTGCTCCATAAGCACAAAGTTCAAACGAAAGTTAACAGTGAATCCTCCTCCGTTCCAAGTAAATAGTTTTAATAGGAATAAACATCTATTTAAAAACAAAATCTTACTTATAATCCACTTTCAGTACAACATTGTTACAAACATTATTTGAAAATTCAACTTCAGGTGGAAAGTTGAAACCATTGTGCCAATTACAAACTGTTGGCGTGAACGTATTTGTATTGATTGAACTTTGTAGTGGAATACACAATGTCAACTTCGTTGTATCATTATATGTACAGTTATGGTTGAAAAAACCATTTTGATTTGATTGTTTTACATTAAGAGTTGACTTAGTTGAAATCAAGAAATGGAAAATATAAAAGATACAAAATAAATTAGATTATAGGAGAAAATATGATCATGAAAATATAATTTTTACTGGATGAAGACTGAAGGTGAGATGAAAATCTGGACTGCAGCCGGATTTTCATCTCACCGTCAATCATCACCCAATATAAATACTAGTCTACCAAACTACGGCTATCTCAGATAGTCAAATGATAAAAATATAATTAAGATTTCAAATTCGCCTCACAAACTTATTTTATCATTTTGAAATAATTAAGTCACTAAAACAAAATTTACTGCATTTAAGAAATATTGAACTTCATTTTAATCAGGAAAAAGAAAAGTTTAATCAAATTAAATGGAGAAAAATAGGGTGGTAGCATTTTCCACATAAGTTATTTGTTCTTCATGGCTATGCACTATATGCTGTGGACAATGAGACTCATATTATCATAAAAGTCAAACAGTACAAACAGTTTCAATATTTAACGGATATCAAGTATTGAACAATTAAATTGTTATTTCTATTTTTAAGATAAGTTGTGCAAACAAGTACATCAACTGTTTGACTATCATTCTACATAAGACAGCTAGTAATCACTCACAAGCCAGAACAACTCACATATATCTACTGATCATTATGAGTGCTTGATGAGACAAGGGATTAGGTTTTCTGTTCTGTATATTGGTTGATTACAATACGAATACAGTAAATTAAAGGCTTATACATGTATTTGGTGGAAAACTGTTATAGTCAATAAAAATCTCCATAAGTGTATTCATCCAGTACAGAGAATGTCAAACCATAAATAGGACCTGAATGCCATTTGTTCAGAGATAACATATTGTTACTTGGAAATCGATGTATATTAATCACTGGAAAAAATATGTTAGTTTTTGGTGAGACAAGAAATAAGAATATTTGAAGTACATAACTTTTTGTTAGTTTTACTGCCAATGCAACTGGTTCCTACTTTCACGAGTTACCAGACTGTCATCATGAATAATCAATTTGCTGAACGATACTTTGAGGGAGTAAATTCAAAGATAAGTAATATAAGAAGTCAAAAAAAGGAGAAAACAAGAAACTGTATGCTAAAAAGCTCTGATTTTTCAAATACTTTTAAGTAAATAAGATAATAGACGAAACGACTTCGAAATCCTACACATGTTTATGGAGTAGGTTAAGAGTCCTACATAGTCCTATAGGGTTAATAACACCCGGTGGTCGCTGATCCGAATCCGGGTACGGTCTAGATTTCCAACTCACCTTCAATCATCACCCAGTACAATTACTAGTCTCCCAAACTACGGCTATTTTAAACAGTCAAATCATAATTAATAATACTGCCTGATAAATAAAGCAGGTTTTAAAACTATGGTTCAGTGATTGAATGTGAAATGTTAATGTCAACAAGTTAAAATTCTGTTTCCATTTCTTGAAAATTTAATCGTGTCACGTTTACAACCTGAGGCAATAATTATCAACTCTTAACAACAGTTAGCTCCGTTTTGTCTACCTTAGGCAAGAATCCACAACTTCATCTGTTTTTTTATTCCACCCTAGCGTTAGTTTTCAAACTTAACACTTACATCTGATAAAATAGTATCTAATTACATGAAGACCATACATTTAGAATTTATGTTTGAAACATTCCAGGAGAAACAGTCTCAGGTTTCCATCAACTGGTTTGCGTACAGCTGTTTACTGGCGGACTGTGCCTCAGGGAGGAAGTAGTACTTAAATTACTGTGCCCACTTATAAGATCAATTTAAGCGCATACAACCACATAAGATTTTATAGCATATTTCTTGAAGTCATGCCATGTTGAAGTCAGTAAGTCGGTTGGAGTCAGTGGGTAGAATGTCCTAGGCATACGTTTCGTGGTTGTTGGCACTTGTCAAAAAGGCGTGTCTGCAAGCTCGAGGAGACTGGTGTCTTCTGTGAGACTCCAACTAGTGTCAACCAGTGCTGCAGTCTGAGACGTTACCGTTGAACTAACTGGAGGTGTCTGACTTTCTTTAGGATAGCCTCCAACCAACTAACATCTATCAAAGTGCACTACAATGGTGAATCCTTAGTTTGATAGTTACACTACAAAGTGATTCACAAAACTAAGTCAACACTCAGACTGAATAACATGAAATTGGTTAATTTCCAATGAGCAAGCAATGAAAGTGAAGTTTGTTTTACAAAATCATATGCTGCTTGTACTATTTTCGTGTATTTTCTCCACATATTGGGAAGATGTAAGGAAGACCAAATACTCAAAATGAACACGATTTCAAAACCTGCGTGTTATCCCAGGCCACGATAGCTACCTCTTGTGTGATGGGTATGATTTCAGTGTTGTTGCTTTTATTATCCCTTCGTTGAGTGGGCCGAACTGATCGGTCTCTATTGGCATATGGGCTCCTATGCGGATGTCTCGATATTGCCTGTTTTAATTGTATATTAATGATGGACACTGGCTAGCAGTGGAATCCAGGATCTATCATTACTAGAATTAAAACAGGTAATATCGAGGCATCCGCACAGGAGCCCATATGTCAATAGAGAACGATCAATTTAGTCCCATCGACGACGGTGTAATATAAGCAATAATACTAAAACTATACTCGTCGCACAAGAAGTAACTACATGGTTCGGTGGCCTATTGGATAACGCCCTGGAGTTTGAAAAGATTGGTCCCGTGTTCGAATCTTGATAGGAACAACATCGCTCACTGGGAGGCAGGTACATCCAGCTGACGAGTCCTAAATAGGACAAAGCGTGCATCTCCATTCCACTGCTAGCCATTATCCATCAGTAGTTGCAGTTGAGTTGCCTACACCCTTTATGTATTGGTTCAGTGTTTTGGTTTGGCCACCCTTAACCACTTGCAAATGGTTCATTTAAGGTTATATATTGCAACAGACTATGGCTCATCATGATATATCACAAGCACTGACGTAAGCAGATGAAACATGCGCAGGTTGGAATTTTAAGCAAATTTGTTGGTGTCATGAGAAAAACTGAACTAATTTACTTTGCCAATCTTAAATCTTTAGTGTACACAGCCTTATACTGGCACAGACAAGAAACTAGAATTCTCAAATTATCACAATTCTCAAGAGATAATACTCGTTAAACACATTCACAAATCCAAAAAAGAGTATTTTTCTTACTATAAATATAGATAAAACTACCACATACCTGTGAAGAAATTATAAAATTCTGTACTTCATCTTGACTTAAACAGAAATAGTTGACTTCTACTGGCACGGGTACATTATCACGTAAACGGTTCATGCGTAAACGGAAAACTGGTGCGAATATCGTGATATTACTAAATCATCAATCAAATAGGTACGTGCAAACAAACGATCCAATAATTTTCTTGGTCCCCAACCTAAATATATTTATATAAAAATACTATTTGAAGATAAATTAAATGATTCAAGATGCATTTTATATTCGTGAATGAATGAAACATAGATTCGGAGAATATTAATAGACTATTATTGATATATTAATGCTGTCTAACAAGTATGCATCGTTCAAAATTGTAAATCCAAGCTATAGTTTCATTTGGCAAACGTTTCAGTATCATGTTAATACCGTCATCAGTGCATCATAGCTTCGCAAATACTCATCACGATTTTTTAAATATTAGTAAGAGTCTGTAATAGACTATGAACAACACTCGTTATCTTATACCTTCAACTCCTTGATATTATATGAGTAAAGCGAAAAAACAGCTGCAAAGGAAGTTAATTCCCTTTACTTCGTTACTTTTCGTCAACTCCAAAAGAGACAAAAATACCAGTGTTTATTATAGCATGTTTTAATAAAATGAATCAGTAAACTTTGATTTCAAAGAAACCCATGATAAAACAGTTTTTGCACATTAATTAATACAGAATGTTATAAAAAGTACAACCCAATATACGTTATTTCATATACGTTTATGGTGAATCTTCTAGAATTGTAAAGAGAAAGGGTAACACCCAAGGAAAACGATCAACTAATTGGCAACGAGAAATAATTAAGGATTAATTTTGTAAATTTCAAATTAGCAGGGAGAAGGAATCATGAATTTAGCAACTAAGCTAAAACAGGCTTAAAGTTTCATAATCATTTTGTTTGAGAACTCTTTTATCATAAAAACTTTTGAAAAGTGTAGTTTTGAAAACTGTACCTTTATTCCTTCAAAATCTTGTAGTTTGATAGCTATAGAAATAGACTTGCTACTGTTTACGGTTGGTAGGATAATGTTTGAAAGTATTTTTTTGCAGCTCTAAAGGTAAGAGCCTAAACCAATAAAACGCGACTCTAGTGTATAACCACAGTAACTTCACACATATAAAGTTCATCTGACAATAGCAGTAGCACCTAGCCATTATGTCCAATACAATTTACATGTAAGAAATGAATGCAGTACAAGGCAAACGTTATTACAAATATAAAACTACACTTAATCATTACTTTAATGTTTCGAACAGCCATGGCGAAACTTTAATTCTATAGTTACAGTTATCTAGTATTCAAGCTTCGGGAACTACCAATATGCAAGATTTGAAGCTCATTTCTCACTCACTTACGAAGAATAGTATAAATTTGCAATTTTCAGCATCGTCTAAACTAGTCATGGTTTATTCAAGCAAGGCGTTCATCAACTGGTCCAAGGTATAAGAACATATAAAATGCTTTGCTGACCAGTGCGAAAGGGGAAAAAACTGAATATTAAAGCGTAAATAAACAATTACCTTATTTCATAACGTTAATTTTCTTTGTAACCTTTAATTCCGTAAATGAATATAAAAGATACAAATTTTTCGCCTTCATCTTCGTTAATAATCGTTTGGGACTTATATATGCAATTATCGAAAACGCATAACTTAATATATGTCCGGTAATATAGCAGGTAATTACATATATAAGTGCAGTTTAGTTTACAGTGAACTTCTTAAATCACTGATTTGAGAAATGGTCCTTTTTACGGTTTTTTAGTTCAGTGGATCAAAAGATACTAATAAGTACCACGTTTCAACTATTCATTAAATTTCAATCATCCTCTTCTTTCACTAAAGTCAGTATGTAAATGAATATATTCAGGTTCCAACTGTCTTGTTTAGGCTTCAACGTTGAGTATCATACTAAACCGATTTCATGTATGGGAACCTAAAGTTGTATAGGTTCGCTCAAGGTTGTAAATACGCCTTCAAAGTGATGACGACCAAAACTACCACAAAGTACGATCTTGGCACAGAGCACTTCTTCAGTCATTTAAAACCAATTACGTGTTGAGTACACTTTAGTAATAAGAATTCAGTAAAGTGTGCCTTATATAGTGAGTATTTTTGCTGAAACAGATGAGTTTCAATGAGATAATAGATAATATAACTCAAAAATGAAAGACACAATAGTTTTTTGATGAACACTTTATTATCAGGATGGTAAACATTTTAAAAGAAGAGCTCCACATTGATATGAAAAGGATGGTTTTCATTAAAATGACGTAGATACTTTAAATATGAGTAAAGATTTATAATAAAGTCTAGTTGATGGAGGAATTCGAGGTTTTTGTAGGCAAAACAAATCGTTTTTTCTTCTGAAATTCATTAGCTCCATTTTTACATAAAACTTAAACTTCCTAAATAATTTGTGTTGCAAAGAAAAGACACAGAAAGAAGGAAACAGAGATAACTCATACAACTTAACTCATTTGTTTAGCTCAACACATGTAAGATATAGTACACTACCTTTTTACTCTCTGGTGGTCATTTGTTTTTTACTCTAACTGGAAGTCATAAAACTAACGAATGACTTAGATAAATTCCACGAGTTTTGAGTGCTTAACTGGATTTTTATTGTCTAGAGCAACCCTTCGGCAATTCTAAAGACTGAAAAATTTTTAAACCTCTTAAACTCTCAAAAGAAGTAACCAGCAATGATGCATTCTGCTTTCCACTAGTCTATAAAAACTTCACCTTATCCAGCTCTCTGTAGGCTATATGGCAACTTAAGTCAACCCTTAGAAAAATAGCTGGCAACAAGTTTATCATTTGTCAGTGATTAAAATCTTGACAGTGATGGATTAAAGATGAAGGATGCATAACACACTTATAACTTCTTGAAAGTTTTGATTCTTGTAGACATTTATAGCTTAGAACACAAACCTTAACATGTTTTCCTAGGAGTTATCTTTTGACACCTTGCTTAGAAGGCTATTCCTTACTTCGTTCAAGAAAAAAAGCATTTTTTTTACATTCTGAGTACTATGTGATTCATAATGGTGAGCTGTATCAAACTGACAGACTCATCAAATAAAACTGCACATAACCATTAACATCAATCGTTCGTATTTCCCCAATGGATGTTATTCGGGTTATGAAAATACTAGTTATTAGTTGCAAAAACAGTTGCTACTGTCTTTTGCTTATTACATGCCGATTTCCATTAAGCCTAGATAAAACGTCCAGAAAATGGTTTATACAGCAAATCGAACCTGCGACATATATATATATATATATATATATATATATATATATATATATATATATATATATATATATCAATTCATACCGTTTCCAATACTCTCCTTTGAACTGACTGCATCTTGACACCGACTACTTGATAGAGATATAGGACATCTGTAAATACTCCTGTCGGATAAGAACTCCACTGGTATATTCGATTCCAGATCACAATTCATGTTGTCCGGTAGAACGAAATAGTCATTATATTCACTCACAAAAATACTTGGATCATCAGAAGATGCTAGGATCACTGATTCTATCATTAGATGCAGTGGATCACCATAAACGTACAAGCGACCTTTTTGTTTCTTTTCACCAACGGAAACTTCTCTTGCACTTGAGTCAATGACTTGATCTGAGGGAAATTCAATTTTTGCATTTTGGACATTATTGTCTAAGTCAGTATAACTTTTAGCGGGTGGAGATGATTTGTAATACTTTCCAAGTACTGCATTATTATCAGTAACAATGCACAAAATAGGATGATATTCCGGTAGTCTTGTGAAACCTCGATTTATTAAATCAAGTATATTTCTCCGATTATTAGTCGCTTTCAACGCTGCATCACAACTGTGTTGATTTGGTATATGGAAATTACCACCAAATAGGCCAGAAAATAGGTTTGCTGATTGGTTAACTGGACATAACTAATGGGAAAAATTACGAAACTTTAAGAAACTCATTATTCATTGAATACAAAATGATTCCATTAAAGTAGTAATCGATAATTTCTGATGTAGCAAGAAAATAATTTGTAAAATAAGGATAAATTTCTGTGTAATGGCTAAAGTGTTAACTATGTGAGGAAGATCCACAAGAAAACTAGAATTCGGTTATCATGTGGCCTTGCTGTCATCATCATCGATGAAGACAAGAAATCAAACCAAAGCTGTTAACAACCAAGATTCCATTCTCCATCTTCCAACACTACAGTTGCAAAATGTGACATAAAATCTTAGGTTTTTTATAGTTACGCGAAGGATGTATACATACAGAGAACAGTTATATATACAAACAACGATATTTTTATCCAGGTTAAATCATTGTAAGACTAGATTATAAATGAAAAAAGTTCCTTAGACTATAACTACCATTAATGTGACAGCCACAGATGATATAGAAGCTGCTGATCACATCTTGGCAAGTACTAATAATGAAGTTTTGATAGGATTACTGATTTCTGATCACAAATACCTAAGATGGTTTTTCTTAACATATCTTGGTTACCTACCTCCTAACATCTGACCACAGTAACGCGTTGCATAACTTTGCGAGTTTAATTCCTTTCATTATGTATTGAAAAGGGCGTCACCTTATTTCTTGGCTACCTACTAGTTGGAGTCTATGAAAGCTTATGGATAATATTTCTATATAAAGACATGTTATCTCAGTGCCATCTTCAGTATGCCTGTTCAAGAAACTGGATGTCCTTTGAAGATGGCACTAACACTCAGCTTAAATCGCTGTGCCTGAGAAGACTATCATTAAGATACGCAGATTCTCTGCAATTTAAAGTTTGAGTAAGGACTTATTCCATGAGCATGGAACCACCTATCAACTATTTGTGTATAAGCGAGGAAAGCTTATATTACCTCAAAACATAACAAAGACAATCACTGTGAAGTTAGAAGTCAAATACTTGTTATGTAATAGCTGGTTGTAAAAATTGCTGATTATTTTATACGGAAAAAAATATCTAAACCACGATAGATAATACAATTAATTCTACTGGTTCTGTGAAAACTTTAGTTTATGTTTGAAACACTGATGATATTTAGTAGTTGGATTTTGTCTAGCTGTGTCACTTCCACTGCATACTGTAAGTTCTGTGTTTAACTAATTTGGCTTCCTTTATCTCCTATTCACTAAAGTGAGTAGGGAGAGTTAAGATGGTATGAATAGTTCAGTTCTTTGCTCAGTGATCAGCTCTGTGAAAAGCCAGTGAAGCTACCGTCATCTGTTTAGATCACTTTAACCTAACTAACATGACTGTTGATTAACAAGAGTAGTTGGTAAATGCTCATTTCGCTTACAAATCTAATTTTTAAATTTTTTATGTCTATTCGTGTATGTTTAGTTGCAGCTCCGCAAGATGAGTATTTTTGTCTAGACTATATAAATGTAGAGAAAAATATCTTACATAGTTTTATTGAAAAGTAGTCGCTCTGCCAAAGACTGCATCATGAATGTGGAAAGTTCACAGCATAACCGAAAAGAACCAACTAACATATGTCAATATTTCTAGGTCACACTATTCAAAAGATGAATGATAAACCTGCAAAACTGTAAAAACTCTTCACAAAGAACCAACCAAATGTTTAGTGGTGATATATTAACTGTATCATTCTGTAATAAAATTTTTACATTCACAAATTAGTCTGAGGTTGTTGCGGATTTGACCATTTCAAAGTAGTATACATTACTGACTGATATCAATCAGAGAAACACTGAGAACCTAGGAGGACTGGAAAGCTGTTTTGCCCTACCATGGGACTGCATAGAAGTATGCACTCTCTACCTCTTCTGAGAATGAGTTCAGAACCTTTAGTATCGTGGTGAGTGCATTAACTAATCAGCCAATAGATCGGATTCCATCGGTCTACAATGTCCTACTTCTGTCAGTTACTGAAATGGCCTGACTATCCACCAAGGCCTTCAACTGGCATCCGCTTCGCGTCGGACCTATTTTGCCCCACCGGTCTCGACTTTTCAATAGGACTTCGAGATGTATATCTCAAAGTAAGTCAATAGTGAGCAGTAAACAATAATTTAGTTTAACGTTTGTAAGGGTTTATTTGTTTCAAGGGAAGTATTCAAAGTTAGTTCAAAGAGTTTTAAACTGTACTTACGTTGTCACAAAAGCATCCAAGATCACAAGTACCTGCGGTCAAATCACAAGGACACGGTGAAATTTCTGTCCATGCAGGATCGGGATATGTAAATGATTGATCTATAATAACAGACATTAAAACAAATATTGATTCATAATCGAAGTTCTTCAATTAAGAACTGAACTACCTGAACTACTTGTGTTATTCATATAAAAATTCATGATTCGCAATATGATACAATAAATGAAAATCGTTGTGACTTAAGAGGTTACAATTAACACCAACCACACTCTGAAAGTAACTGAGTGGTGTATTTTACTTTGTAGGTGTGTTGATAAACGAAACTGGAATTTGCCTCCAAAGTGATAGCAACTATATTCAAGCTGATAGTGGCTCTATACCCGTAGGTTTCTACCTTTCAATGAAGTATACTGGGTTGCATAAAATTATTACGCATCGTAAGATCTGAAATTCGTTGCATTATGCTTTCTGTTGGGATTTACTGTTGTCATTATTTACTGGCTTGTCAGTATTTCTAAGTAGCACCTCGCAAGCTTCCAACTCTACCGTAGTATCAGTAGACTTAACCCAGATGTTTCAGGTGGTGGTGCTGTCGAAGTTAATCGTCAGCTGGAAAGAGGTGGAGGATGCAGTTTTTGAGCTGCAAAAAATACGTGATGGATGTGCTTTACAATGAACATAGATTGCCGATATTCACTATGTCCAGTGAAAAAGCAAAGAATCGAGTGAAAGTAGTTTGAAGTGCACATCTGTGGCATTTTTACATATATTCGTAGTGAAGAGTAACTCTAAGGTATGGGGTTGATTATGAAATCATAATTACCCTGTTCGTGAGAGTACTTTTAGGTCAAACATTTGAAGCTGTATATCAATGTTGCCTTGAACCTGAATGAGTATATTATTTGATCCTACAGAATGCTGCACAATCACCCCTGAATACAGTTCTTTATGTTATGCTATGTGCGGAGTACGTGACTAACAGGGAAAGAGAAAGAAAATCTGAAGCAACACTTTCAGCAATCGTCATCTGCAGACAAAGTAATACGACTTGTCATGGGTGAACTGAATGAAGGCATCACAGCAATGGATGCTAACAATACAAAATTGAAAATCATGAAAGGTGGTTTTGTATTTACCAATGTAATTTTGTTCCGACTAAAGAACGTGACCTCAAAATTTCGCCTTGTTGAGGCAAAATGGAAAGTTAAAGAAACTTTGTACGGAATAAAGTAATTGCAAGGTGTTGTTAAAAGTCTGTTTTCCCACTGTTGAGTAGATAGAGCTATACCAGAAATATCCGTAAGTAGTCAAAATAGATTGCACTTATAACATAAACAGAAGAGGGTAATATTTCACTAAAATGACTTATAGGGTAGATATCGATTGTTGATTGACTTCATCCGTCTTCTGTCATTTTACCTGACATACCTCACGGACCAACTTTACATGAGGCAAACACCTATTTCTTGCTAAGTATAAGTTCACACGTAAATCAATTGTGCAGTTGGTGTACAACCTGCGAAATTCTACTCCTAGCTTCAAATGATATGTCTTGCTTTAGACGGATTTCAGCAGCTCCACGAAATACGTCATTGTTCAGTGATTCGTGCTTGCGGCCTACTTAGTTGTAGTAACTCTTTCACTTTGAAGATGCTATAGATGAAATGGTTTCTGGAATACGACGTTCTCAATTTGGTCATAATATATAGGCTTCTTTAAGCAGAACATATATGTCGTCTACAGCTACAAAGTATTCATAAAGACATGTGTATACATCAACTAGACATTTAGGCTACTGATATATATATATATATATATATATATATATATGCCGAAATATTTCACGCTCCCGACTTTTGTCCCCAGTTCCGATAGATTCACTGTGCATTTATTTTTACCCCTGTAATTCAAACGGGACCACGATTTCCCTAATTTCTTTGCGATAATATTGATCGAGTCTCAAGAAGGATGAAAGGTGGTGTATTTAAAACCAATCTAAATTACTGTCTTTCGCAGTCTCCAATATTCCGTAATGCGTTTATAATTTGTATCATAAGGATTTCATACTCCTTTGTAAATTGCTGATGAAGTTCTAGTGTGACATGTTATGCATTTATCAAACTTACTTATTAAAAGAGCGTTTCGTCATTAAAACACCTTGATCTTGACTTTGCAGTTGCATACATGAATATGTGCATTGTCCTTTGACTTCGTATACAATTTTACCTCCTACTAGATACGATGTGTCTTTAAGCGAAAACTTCATAGATCTTTTTAGTAATTTGAAGCCTCAATCAACTCACTGTGATTTTTGAGCATCATTTGTCATAAACAACTGTACTTACTTTCTACTGAATCATGAAATTTCAGCTTGGAGTTGTTGTAAATCATCCAGCATAGATATCTCAAATGTAATTCTATTAGACTATTTCAGGACAGTTGTAGATTAAGATTATTTATTGATACTTGTAATTTCCCGTGTTATTCAGAATCAAACTTATCGACCTCTGTTGGTACATAGGCTTCTAAGCGGATACCTCGATATTGCCTGAATATTCATTATGTTTCAGTTTGCTTGATAGTAGCTAGCAATGGAGTCTAGAACGCACGTTTCGTCCCATTTGTGACTCGTCAGTCAGGACAATATTACTCACTAGGCGGATGAATCTCAAATCGGAAGAAATGTGTGTCCTGGACTCCATTGCTAGCCGCCAACAAGAAAATTACAACAATGAGATGACTTTCTTAGTGCCTAATAAAAAACTGAGATCAAAGTCAAGAGTTCACAGTATTCAACACATTAGTTTCAGTATTCAGAAGACGGAAGGTTGAAAATTTGCACCAGTCAGTGGTGAAAACTTAACACTGTAGGACTAAGACCTGATTTTTAAACTATAAGATAATTCTACCTTAATTTTGCCCAGCTTCAAAATTCACGATCCAGATTGATGTCTCCTAATTTCAGAAATATGATGCCGAAATAATTTTCGTCACAAGTATACAGACAAATCATAGGTTCAAACCTTCTCTCCAACATTGTTATATCCAAATAAAAAGATACTCTTAAGTGACATGAAGACTTAGAAGTCATACACTTAGACTAGTATGGCCAGACATAATGATAGCTATTCTTCCTGTTTGTAGCTGAACTCATAAGCTTTAAATACAGGACAAAGGGTCACATATAGTTGAATTGTTCAGAATCATTGAATCTAGCAGTAGTTAAGTTGTGTTTTAAAGCCTCCTCAACTTTAGGAAATCAATATAAATCAAAAAATTATCAGGCTTAACGCCAAGTGAAGCTCCTTATAATTGGTCAGTAAGTGGTTCCAATTCGCAGTCTTTTGAACTCTAAAATCTGGTCCTTAAGGTGCAAACTTGCATCCAAAATAAAAAGAATCTCCTAAACACGTCACAAATATCCCACTTGTTGCATATATAATATCTGGTGAATGAAACAACTGTGTCCAGTCAAAGGTTTGACGATTTGGAATATATACTAGTATAGGGTACAACTTATTTTAACTGGGAAGCGTATATCATCACTGTTCAGATTACTGCCGCAAGAAGCTGTCAGCATCTAAGTGGGTTTACTCACAATACAGTATTCATTTGGAATAAAATTCGCAATGGATAAGATGTTTGTGCTCATAACATTGTTTAATATGACATCTAAAATACGTTTAATATGGAGCCTATAGTGTAATCAACCATTAGTTGTTTCACTTAATTGATGCTATAGAAAGAAAATAATTGCGCCACGTTTAAGACACCACCTTATCGAATGTTAATTCTGATAGAATATAAAAAAATTCAAAGTGCTCTGATAAAGCATCAATAGAAAATAACTAACCTGAAGGCAATTCATCACCTTTATTAATAAATAAAGCAGGTTTTAGTAGAATGTTTATTCTGCTTGTTGTTTTAATATTGGCAAAAGCTGGATCCACAGTAGCATTTTGTGTTGTACTGCAACATTTTAAAATTAATACTTCCATTTCATTAGTATAGTTAGATGATGGATAAGAATTACGTTTTACAGTTAGTAAACGTGAAAGTGAATCGGTAGAAGACGAAGTTGATGCTGCCTATAATCAATTGTAATAAATGAATATCTGTTGATTTTTGCTACAAAATGATGACAGATAATAAAATAACAGTGTTGGCGCTGAACAACTTCTAAAGGTAGTTGATGAAAAAGACTTTATTTCTCTTATAGATTTACGGAGATAATAGCTGAATTGTAATGAAGTTGATTCAGGAAATTGGGAACATAAACTGTTATCTAGGGCTGACTTAAAAATAAGTGAGTTAATATCATTGTTAGACCTGGAATTACTGCATAACATTTCAGGTTGGAAACATTTCATGTCAGTAAATCAAATAAAAAGCACAATGTAAAATATAGAGAACTAAGAAAGAAAGTAATCAGAACTAGTCGAAAGTCGAGAAAAGAGAACAAAGAGGAAGGAAAAGTTAGAGGAATTTGGTATGAAAATTAGGATGAAGGAAATGCGTGAATACACTTCTATTACTGCGACTGGTTTTGAGTCATATCAACTGAAGCCTCCAATCAGTGATTTTGGTTGTCATATGGACTTCGAACAAGAAGTCTATTTTTCCTCGACACAGTTCTGATCAGAAGCTAGCTACTTCATGGACTATCACAACTTTTTCCGACCACCTCCAACCCTGTTTCCTGCTCGAACTTGCTTCAGCTAACATTCCATGTTGGTTTAAACGCTGACTAAGCAAGACAGGCTTTCACTAATCTGAAATCAGTGTGGAGATCTTCTGCACTCAGCATAAAGCGTGAACAAGATCCGGATTTTCAACACCAACGTCAAGTCAGTGCTTCTAAGTAGTTCAGAAACGGCGTATCACGAAAAGCATTTCCAACAAACTACAGACATTCATCAATAGCTGCCTACGCTAGCTCACTCGATACTGAAGATCAGATGGCCTGACAGAATAAGCAACAAGGAACTCTGGGGAAGAACCGAACAAGAACCTATCACTCAACAAATATGCAGAAGAAAGTGGAAATGGATTGGATTGGGCATACACCGGGAAAGCCGACTAGGGACATCGCGTGCCAGGCCAGCCCTCGAGTGGAATCCAAAGGGTAAACGACGAGTTGGGCTCGCGAGGTGAGGGTTACATGGAGGAGATCACATGAGGAAGAAATAAAAGCTTGTGGAGAGTCGTGGTGTCAGGTTCAAAAGACCGCAAAGAACAGAGTGCAATGGAGGCGTGTTACTGAGGCCCTATGTCCCACTAGGAATCTAAGAGGAAAATGAGAATAATAATAATAAGCATGAAGTACCGAGATGGATAATTTCCGTAATAATGCCTAATACCAGAGCACATCCCACCACATCCTTTGATTAGTAGACGAATTGTAGATCTAATCAGCAGACATCAATCACTGCCTTGAATTGCAACTTGGCCTGAAAGTTTCAGTACACTAAAATGAGATTACCTAAGACACTCCTAAGTTTCGTCCAATCCTATGAAACTAAATGTTGCGAAATGAAGTAATGATAAACTTACCGATAGGGTGAATGTAATCCGAGTCATTAAGTTCACTCCCCTTTACTAAACCATCAGCATCATCTATCTGGAGAGAGTCGATGGTTATATCTGATTGTCGAAATCTCGAAAGGATGAGTGAAATTAACTTCCTTGATAATACGGTTGGTACCTGAGCAGTTTAACTTATAAACCACAAGTAGAATGACAATATGCTGAGTCAGTAAAGCCTAAGAGGGATTCATATTATTCTTATCCTATTAATATGCTACTTATTTTCTCAATATCTGTGTCATTCTGATAAACACCTTGAAGTATTATTCTACTCTTTTGGTTTTCTCATTTTACTCAGAGTAGCCAAATATGATATATTATCACTTATGTCCTTAGTATAGTAAAAATGTTGTTAAATATTTGTCTCATTATTTCACTGATTTCAACAGTAACGAATTAAATCATTCGAATTTCTAGCTTATTTCTAGGGTAACAATAACAGAACTTAGAAAGTCATTCTTATTATAACTTTTCAAAATGCTACTTTTTTGAAACTTGCTACTGTCTACTGGACTTCAGTGTTGGGCATCAGGCATCAGTCTACCAACTCAAAGTATTCACACTTCCTAACAAATATTTAACCACTACATGAAACAAAATAAAGCGAATTATTTTTATCACAGTAATCAGACTTCTAAAAATTTAGAAGACAAGTAGGACTCAATTACTTGGAGTATCGCCAAAATACTACAGTGAAGATGTGTCTTATAGGCTTAGTCACTGAAATTTCGAGTAATGTATTTTGAGTTCCAATACCACTTCAGTGTAACGTGCTTGCCTAAAGAAAAGCTTTCATGTGTGCCTCTGTGAAGTCTTCAACTATTCTACGTTCATATCTGTCAGAGCCGCAAATATAATTCTAAGACTGAGACAGCCAATTAGAAATTTCCGTACTCAAAAGATAGAAAACTAAATCAGTGTGTAAGATTCTTCAGTTATGTCTATTTCTTATATAAATAACTCTCTTATAAGCAGTGTTTTTGCTTTTCCATCAGGTTTAATGTTTCAATTTGCATGCCTAAATTATTATTCTTATTATTTGTCCCTGGGTTCCTAATGGAACAGAGGGCTTCAGTATCATGTCTCCATTCCACTCTGTTCTCTGAAACCTTTTGACCTAGCTCCACGACAGCCCACATGCTCTCATTTGTTCCTCGCACCATCTCCTCCATGTCACCCTCACCACAAACACCCAAATCGCCGCTTCCCATAGGGGTTTCACTCAATGGCCTGGCCTGGCACGTGATGACTCCAGTCGGCCTTCTCAGTGTTTGCTCAATCCAATCAATCTCCACTTGCTTCTGCATAATTGTTCAGCGATAGGTTCTTGGTTGGTTCGTTGCCAGCCGACCAGAGTCCTTGTTGCTCATTCTTATCATTCTGGCCATCTGATCTTCAGTAACGAACCAGCGTAGGCAGCAGCTGTTGATCAATGTCTGTAGTTTGTTGGAAATCCCTTTCATAACGCGCCACCAAGTCTCTCAACCATCACATAGAAGCACTGACTCGACGTCGGTGTTGAAAATCTGCATCTTGTTCACACTGTATGCTGAGTGTAGAAGATCTCCACACTGGTTTCAGGCTGATGAACGCCTGTCTTGCTTTTCCGATTCTGACTTCAACATCCTCGTCTGTGCCGCCCGTAATTGAGACAGTGCTGCCTAGGAAGGTGTTACAGGCTACTTCCTTTAAGTTTCTCCCGTTGATGGTGATTGGAGCTTGTTGTTATTGTTGTTGTTGGTTGAGTATCTTCATCACCTCTACCTTCTCTATATTCACTTGAAGCATGTTCCGTCTCCGCTGACCTCCCTCTTCCGTCAACCTCTTAGTTTTCGCCTGTGGATCGTCAAGTTTGTGTGACATCAGGCACAAGTCATCGATGGCGAAATCCAAATCTTCTAGGTTCTTTTCCGCAGTCCAGCGTATCCTCCTCTTCTCGCTCCTCACTGTTTGTTGCATGATCTAGTCCACCACAACACAATCAGGAATATCATGGGTGATGGTAGGCAGCCTTGTCTCACTCCTGTCTTCACTTCAAAAGTATCATTGACCTTCCCATTGTGAATTACTTGGCCGGCATGTGGCATCTTCATATAGTTGTTGAATGCTGCTGATAAAGGTTTGTTGTATTCCGTGGTATTGAAGCAGTTTCCAAATTACCTCTCGGTCGACGCTGTTGAAAGCCTTCTCAAAGTCGATGAAGTTGAGGTAAGGTGAAGAGTTGACTGCCATTCTACACTCTGTTCTATGATGATGCGAAGCGCTGCAGTTTGGTTTGATTTGTACTTTCTGAAGCCTGCCAGCCAGCCTGTTCCGGTCGTAGTTTTGAATCCAGTGCATCCTCTAGTCTCTTCAAGATGATGCGGCCTAATATTTTGCTTGCATTGGGTGGACAGGAGAGTGATTCCGCGCCAGTTCTTGCAAACACTGAGGTCTCTCTTCTTCGGGAGTTGGACAAGGTAGCCCTTCTTCCAATCGCCAAATTACTTGGTGGTTTTTTTAATGTTAAACATTACGATCAAGGTAGTAGAACGCTCTACTGATCCTACCATGATTGATTTTATGTGGGACTGAATTTATGCACACAAATTGAATACCTGGATGATAAAAGATTTTACTGTCAGTTCTTACACTTTGATGAATGTTTATCGACCATAGAGAGCTGCTAATTTAAGTGCTAAAAAATTCCAATGAACTGTTTTCACGGTTACAATTTATAAATCAGTCGACATAATTCAAAATATGGAGCTAATTAACTATCCTTGAGTAGCAAATTTCTAGATTTTAACTTTCTAATCCATTTCAAAAACTTTAAGTGATAAAATACTGGTAAATATTAGATACATTGATAAAATTTATATGATTTCATTCCGAGTGTCAGTCTCAAACTCATTTGCCTTGACACTTCATAGACTAAATATAAATTTGTCAATTAATTCTAAAAGGACAGTATTTGATTAGTTACACCAGTTTAGAACTTAATCCTGAATTTTATTTGCAAATGCGCTCATAACGCAACTAATGGACATTTCTGCAGGACGGAAATTAAACATATTGACAAAGATTGTTTAACGTCCAAAGAACTTAAGTATTTATTAATGATGGATTTCACTGCTAGCCCCTATCCTTCGTTAATATACAGTTGAAACACAGGCAATATCGAGACATCCACATACAGCCCCATATACCAATAAAGATCGATCAATTTGATCTAATCAATGACAGGATAATACAAATAACAACACTAACTTAAGTATTCGTTGGGCTGGAATATGAAATTAACTTTTGAATATTCTGAATAAATGATTCAGTGAATGTTTCATGGTCTCAAAAATGTCAACACTGTTTTACCGGATTATAAAGTTTAGCTGTTGTTTGTCACGTAAATTAAACACTGTGATATTAACAATTTTTAGCCACCGTGGACAATTAGGAAAAAAGATCGAATTCTTTGTTTCAATAGAGTTACATCTCAGCTGAGCTTGTCATCCTAGAATACTATAAGTAGAAGCGTTTTTAGTCACAACTCCAATAATAAAAACATCCCCATTTCAAAGTTGATTCTTTACTTACATCTGATAGCACTTATGTTCCCTATATATCACTGAAAAGAATCAGCAGAGAAATCGGTTGCCAAACGAATTATTCATATAATTCTCAACAATAAATCAGCAGTCTTCTGAGATAGGCTTTTTGGAAAGAGAGTATTCTATGAAATAACTATCATCATCACTGCAATTCCTTAGTTACAGAGGTGCCGACCACTTAGTGTCCAAAATTTCATGATCTTACTTCTTTTTTAGCTTGGAATCGTATCACGATGATGGGAAAAAATTGACAAGTTGTCCAAATTCTAGAATATTCTAGTCAGTTAGTAACTTAACCAACCCATTAGTTTTATGAATACGTAAAATCACTTAGGTGTTATATATACCAATGGTAAGAAAAAGTAAACTTACCTTGAATTCATTTAGGTAAGGTGTTATAGTCCAACTATTCGCATTTCCATCTTAAGATAAAAATCATATAAAGGTAATTATTCATAATTGTAAGCTCAAACACAGTAATTTATATGTCTGTTTCTATGAAAAAAGCTCAAATAGATTTCCAGTGAAACTGATTGGTTTATAATGAATTCAATAATTTGACTTTGGTTTTCATTACTTATTGAAATCAGTTAGAGAAAAACTGAAAACATGGATGAACTGGACATCCATTTCGTCCTAAATTGGGGCTCCTCATCACTTCTCCACAAGTACAACTCCACGATACATCAAACCCAAGACTATCAGGCCTTATGATGAGCAAGCTAACATCCAAGTGATGACTTGAAGTCCAACATTCAACATTTTGGCAACTTCTCTTAATTCATGATATAGATTTCTGACCGATAAAACAGAGTATGAATTACGTAAAAACGCTGAAATCTTACAATCAATCAATTTACAATAAGTTAAGAAATTAATTGTATACTGTTCGTGAAGCTCCACTTCAGTCTTGCCAGGATATGAAGCAAACGATCACAAGCTTATTATCACCATGTTATATGATAAAATTACGAACTATCAAGTGAATATTAATGAGCATTGCTGATCAGTTAATGAGTACGAACCTCAGATAACATGTGTACTTTGGAACTATTGTATCATATACGCATGCGACAATATGCTTATTCATAAATCATTACAATCTATATTTCGACCTAAATATTCCCTTTCCAGAGTTCATAGTCTGAAATAGCTACTATGAGTGTTTATAAATGAATGAAAGTTTGTCTCAGCTGTTTAATTACAGGACTACTAGACACGGAATCATGTGTTTAAAAATAACATTTTTTTATTGGATAAACCTATGAAGTATAGACTACCTTATGTACAGACAGTAATAAATACAATATATTCCAATCGTCATTCTTCAACTTCGCTTCTCGGTTACATAATGCAATGAACACATTAAACTAAATTATAAGAGTAATTTAATGATAATATTCCCAGCTGAAATGCTAAAAGACGTAGCTTCTCATTTCATAAAAATGATAGCTATTTTCGACATCCAAGATATAAATGGCTAATAAGTGTTGGGAAATACAGAAAGTGTATCTCATATTTAATGTCATTCATCTATTAGCTCACATAATGTGTTATGAAATATTTTGAATTTTAGAGTTGAAACTATAAGTAAACACTACAACGAAAAAAACAGTTTAAAAGATTAAAAGAAAAACTGAAATCAGTTAGTAGATTTTTTTACCATTTCTGGAAGTAACTTCACATGTGTTATCATTTAGTAAATTATTTGCATCTGTTTCATTGTTAGCCACACTGACGCTACATAGAACTGCCACATATCGACTAATTGCGTTCAGATTTAACAGAACCTACATCATAAAAATGCAAAATTATAAGCATTTTCAAAGCATATACAAGTTTTAAACCACTAAGTGACCTTAGTTTGATAAACCGACTTTATTACAAAATTTAGTTGTAGTGCACCTTCCTGGCACCAAAATATAACTAGGTCTAGAATAAATAGATTAAATTAACTAAATAAACCTGTAGCTCATCTCCGGATGCTTAAGGTATTTTAAGTTTTGTTTTAACGAGCATGCATCCAAGCAGGCTTGGACGCCATTTTGCGCTTCCTTAGTGCTGGTTAGCACGCACGTACTCAGAGTCCCTAGCTCAGCCATACTAGCCAGATAAGTTGAATAAAAAAATTTTTTTCCATTCATTACTATTACATTTACTCTAATTAAATGCATTACTTCTTTAGATATATTGCCGAACCAGTTCTTTTGATTTGTGTTTCGTTATCAGTGCTTACACGTTGGTAAGGTACTGGTTAAGAAGGTACTAGAGGACATCAAGTTAAGTAGGATTGGTCCAACGTTACGGAATAGTAACATACACCCCTACAGAGTGATGAATAAAGTTGGAAAAAAAAAATCTTCTCTGCCACTTCTTTCGAACAAATGTTAAGCCGGTCAGAAACACGGTGTACTACTGACTAACCTTACAAGATACAGTTGCTGAGCATGTCGTAATTCTATTTCAACCACACAGGTTTCTACCCATTTCGAATATGAATGACAGGTATATAGCTGATTGTTCTGAGTCTGTCTGCTCAAATATGCACCTTTATCTCAGTTGGTTTCAAGTTGGATCATAAACGAAAAATGACTGGTCACTAGTTGGTTAGACTATCCGAAATGAATTTTGTTAGGAAAACTTATCTGAATTTCCTGTATTCCGAACACTATATAAATTCCTTTAAGTTTCAAAATATATCAAGATCAAGACATACCTAAGATCAAGATAATCAGAAGATCCATAGTCTTGGAAAAAACTATGTTGTAGTTGCATTTTGCCTAGTTGAATATTGTTATAGCAAAAATTCTACAATCAAACAAGACACTATCATTAATTTAATATCAGTAAGACTTATGTGTCTTAAATAAAACTCATAATGGTTGAAAGATTAAATAGACGGTTTTTAAGTGTTGCATTCTCAGATACATCACATTATGAGGGTCAGACAACTCCACTAGTAATTTGCTGGTATATACTCAGGCACAGAAAGTAAGTTCGAAGAGGCCCAAAGTATTTAGAAGGACATATTATTCTATAAAATTAACGAGCAACACAAATTACTTTAATATTTTCTTACTTGAATGCCTTACTTACAAATAGCATTAGTGACTCCATTCAAAGAAAAAGTACAGAATGTCACTATTCAGATTATAAGAGTTTAGTTTACACTGATCAATGGTTAAACGATTTATTCCTTTATATAAGCGACCCTTCTAAAAAACCTCTTGATTCTACAGATTTATGAAAATAAGTGAATAATAAAGAAATCTATTTCCATCCACATTGAAATAATCTATCGGAGTTACTTTCAGAAAAAACTGACTTGGGAAGTAACAACATAACACTACCTTAGCTAAATTTATAAAATATATTCACAATTTTTAAAACGATAAGGGATCATTGTACAATCACGTTAAAACTGGTTTCTTAACAACATTACATCATGTATCCTGTTGGGCTATTAAACTACTACTGACTGCTATCAATTCCAGTTGAAAAAATTAAACAATAGAATTTCAAATTCATGCCTGTGTTGACCACATAGAAAAAACGATAGCGAACGTTAGCTGGCTTCTTGAAATAATTGTTCATTAAGTTCAATGATATAAGTGTCCATAACTAAATTGGATTTTGGATAACTAGGTGTTTGAAAACAATAAATTTTTGAGTCTAATGTCGACATGAAAAGTGATAGAATGAACCAGAGTCAACAAGCATTATAAACCATAGTAAAAGTTCTAGGAGGAATCTAATCAGACTATACAACAAAACTTTCATTCACTATGTTTGACGAGACAGGTTAATTAGTCAGTCAAGTAATCCAAAGACTTTATTGCATAGGCAGAACTGCAGATATTTAAGATTCTAGGGAAAGTAGAAAATAAATTGCTTGTTAACAATGGATTTTACAAAGATATTTCATCCTACTACTGTTTTATTGTAACAGTTTGCTCAGAATAGGCACATGAAACATCTTTCTAAGTCCAGAGTCAGATAAGAAAATCTGTTCATTTCATTCGAATATGAACCAGAGTGTGAAGATACTAGACTTAATGAAAAGAATCAATCTTTAAAGTGAGTTTTCTTCAGTATAACTGGATTTTTAACCTCACTGGCTGGTTAATCAAGTTGATCTACAGTGTCATCGCGCCTATTTCATTTCGCTATAAAAGGAACTGATGAATGCTATTCAGCGTACTTTGAACTTATCAGGGATATATGTATGTAAAATATGTAAAAGTATCTCTCTCGTCATTAAAATTTGTGGAATTTAAACTGAAAGCTTTAAAAACCAACCTGAAATTGAAGGCTATATAAGTTTACATCATTGGGCATTAACATCATTTCTCCACCTATCAATGAAATCTTCGAACTGATTCCTTTTAAGAGAATATTAATATTAACAAGAATTTAGTCTGACAAACCTTCGGAAGTTTCTGTAATGTATTGATTACCATTATCTGACTGTGCTTTGCATGCAATGGTGAATGAGCTTGAATTAGAAAATGATATTATTGTAACAGAAATCTAGAAATTATGTCAGTTTCTAAGAACAAGATCTGAAAACTTACAACTCCAGTTGACATTCCAGGTGCAATTGTAACTGGAGGAATGGAAACTGATAAACCTGGAGAAATTAACCAGTGTGAAAAATATATATAAAATTTAATACATTTACAAACGAAAATAACTACATCTAATCACTAGTAATCAAAAACAATGCGAATTAATTTGTAAGGAGATGTTAATTAACGTCTAATTTGTACTGTTATCAGTTGTTTATTTCTTACACCCTGACGATTTAAATTCCTTTGGTTCCGTCAATAAGCAGTTTAGGATTTCATATTTTTGCGAACAAAAGCATTTCTTAGGTGTAATGTCGTCCCATAATGTTAATGACGAATATATTGTCCGACAAATTTACAATGCAAATACTGTTTAGCAAAATATACCACAAACAGAAAATCCATGAAGTCTAGGGAAACTCTAGTAGTATTTGAAATAAAGTCTGAAACGCAAATAAATCCCATTAGAGATGAGTATTTGTGTGATACAACAATTTAGTGAACAGTGACAATTTACTCGGTTGTAGCTAACAGAAGGATTCAGGACGTGAGTTTAGTCCTAGTCGGGACTCGTCAGCTGGATGCACTTGCATCCCAGTGAGTTGTGTCGTTCCTACTGAGACTATGACTTCTTGTCCATCGTTCCGTACCTCGAAACGTTATCCACTAGGCCACTGAGGCATGATAGCCACCTCTTGTACAACGGGTATTAGTTACTACTATTTTTTAACGTCCTTGTCAGTCTCTGTTCTTTTACTGGATCGAATGTCCGACCACTGTCGGACGAAACGCGTGTTCTGGATTCTTCTTCTAGTCACAACCAAGAAAATTATCATAATAAATATTTATCAATACCGAGGTATCCGTATAGCACCTCATATGCCAATTGTGTTCGGGCAATTTGATCCAGTAAAACAATGGAGACTTACTAGCATATCAACAAATAGTAATTTAGAAAATAATTTTGCCCACTGACTAAAAAACAATCGACTGCTGTTTTGTGAATGGTACTGAATAATGCATCTTTTAGATAGTCACTGGGTCAAGTTTCGTATATCGAAAGAGGGAAAGAAAAAAATTCAAATTTATTGAAATTACACGTTTCTCAAATGATGGAGTACCTGTAGGATATGAAACTGGAGACGTTCAGTAATAAAATGAAGTAACTAAGTGAATAGTGCTGATATTCGGACGATATCAGTGCGGTGAGACACTTGGACTGATTACAAACAGCAAGTGTTTTCCCTCAGTAGCTTATAGTTCACTGAACTGCGAAAATCAGAATGCAAAGACCGGGCTGTGACTCTAAGGAAGACACTTCATTCGACAAAAATACATGATTTATATACAACTTTCATGAACAGATAAAGCCACTAGGTTGAGAGTTGGATATTTATTTTGATTGATCAGCTGTAAGATAAATTGTCCAATAAGGTTTCTGGTGACCACACAGCGACACGAAACAAAAGTTGAAATGCGAAGCTTCTACCTTAGCGGCTGATGACTCAGAATGCTGATGTCAATTTAGGTTATTTCCCATCGTAAAGAAATATCCTATATGTCACTGTGGCTCTCCTTTGAACGATTCCAGCTAACAAAACGTTTGTATTTGAGAGGTGAAACCGAAATGAATCAAGATGGACATTTTATAACTCATACTAGTCAGTTAAAAAGCTTTTCTTTGGGTTATAGTATACTATTTTGGCTGACAGTGCTTAAAGTATTAAAAATTGAGAAAATTATTCGAAAGTAATAAAATATTTATCATAACGGACAGAAAATTAGCCTTACAGCCACTCCTAGAAATGTGACAATTACTCAGTGACTTGTTCTTTATCACTGACTGGCAGTCCAGTCGAGCATTGAGGATAGTCACTTTTCGATCATAATTAGTCAAACATAGCAATTCAAGAGTCGCAATTTCAACCCCACTACGCATCTGGGCACGTAGTTAGCCAATCAACATTTCATTACACTATATTGTCACACACCTCTCCAGAATCAACAACCCACGATCTGATGAAATTCAACATTGATGCTGACTTGATGGTTCAACTGGACTCGCTAAGCTAAAGGCACTCGGTCAAGCATCTCCGCCACTCGGCACACTGCCGTGTTGAGTTGCACTGCTCACAATCGACCCTCTAGCCGGATAGTTTCAACACATCAGTATCTTGGCGCCACCTCACAAATATACTATTCCATCCGACAACGCCATTGCGTTATTTCTTGGTCTGGTATTCGTAAGTATATAACAAGTTCGTATAATTAGTGATTGGCCTCTGCGTCTATCAAGTTCGCGCCAGAACAATTCTTAAAAAAGCATGTTTATTCATACAAGTTAAAGGTATAACAAAATAAAGACTTAAAATAAAGATGTAGATAGAAGCGGAGCACATTTAGGGTCCAAGAACAGACAAGAAGTAATTCACTTCATCAATGGTGCCAAACTGAACTTATACAACTTGCCTCTTTAATAACCGCTTTTATTTACAGTTTCACATGTATTTCACACCAGTAATCAGAAACTCCGAAGAGCTCTGTTTGTCAACTCTTTACAATCTTATTCGTATTCAAGTTAACAATGAACTGTCAAAACGTAATGTTGTGTAATGGTTCGTATCACGAAAATGCAGGTAAGTGAACGTTATTACTTTAAAAATGGTTCTTATCGCTTTGTAAAAGCTTCGATCTTAGACATAGGCATGACTTTCGGCATTCGACTGAAACAAAAACTTAAGTTACTGGTTGGGTTTGGTGTGTTTTAATCTTTCAAGAGCATAACTGTTAACAATATGCATATCCTTATGATAGGAAACAGAACTTGACATGGCGAGTTTTCTGCATTCCGAAGGAAAACATCTAGATCTATAGGCAGCAGACATCCATATCCTAAAAGTAATATACCGGCGCACAGTTCTAAAGACATTGTTGTATAGTTTATGGTTGCTTGTGCTCATTTAAAAATGTCTAAAGCTATCTTTATGAACCACAAATTCTAAAAGCTGAGGCCTTAAAAGGAAATGCTTCCACTAAGGTTATGTTTGCCTTTAGATTGAACGCTGATTCAAGAGATAATCAACCGAACATAAAAGGTAGGGTGTCCTAGTTTAAGTGGTGTAATAACTACTCGCGTAAATGCGCAATCTGTTTGAAATAAAGGAAGAACCGCTACCGCCGTTTGGAGGCTTGCAAGATTTCGATGATGATGAACGGGACTTTAGGCCATTAGTTATAAATGGTATGTGTTTGAAAAGCTATCGCCTGTAGTAGCGTTTTCTGTGAAGTTACCTATGGACACCGAATGGCTGACTGACTTAGAGATGAGGTGACTTAACAGTGCTTACAGTTCTTTTCGGTAATGAAGTCTCACTTAATTACAAAGCGGGATGGTGAATTTAAGACACCTTCACTGACCAGAAAATCACTAACCTGAAACTTCTTTCTTCTGGCATGTAACGACAACGCGGGAGTTTGATGCATTCTCACTAAATGTGAATGAGATTAGCAAACCATGTTTACCTTAGTACAACACTCAATTGCTGAGTAAAGGGGATGGGTCTCACTATCAAACGGACGTTTTCAGGACGAACAGATACTACAGGAGCCTTTCTGCATTGAATAAAACTGCAATTCGCATGCAATAAAAATAAATGTGGAGTAAACAACCTTTTGTCCAAGAACAAAATACTTTTGTTAAACTTGTCATGACAAATGAAAGGCACTGCACGTCCGACTTGAGAACAATTGAAAGTAATACTTCCGTTTCTATTTGAGTTAGAAAGTGATGTTTCCGAGAAAACGCCGTTTGTCTCAAAAGTAGAAGGTATTTTTAGTAAAGTACACGTAACAACGCTCTTCAAAACGATGTAGTAAATAACGTATCAGAGTGCACATAGTTATTTTACCTGAAAGATTCCTGCTGAACTTGTAGACAGTGGAACAGAAACTGTCTGCTGATTTATATTCGCTGAAAATGTTGTGAAATTTGCGACCACAAAGAAAATAGAATAGGGACTATTTTGCTCATTTCTCAGGCAACAACTCACATGAGGAGGCAAAAAGCATAAAATATTGAGGCAGATAAATATTCATATCTTCACGCTTATTTCCGTTACGAATATCACCGACTCACAAGTTTATCTCATAAATACTAAGTTGTTTAGTATTTGAAGTCCTTTCAAATATACAGAAGCTTATGCGTTGGAAATGCAAAACCTCCTGATACATTATAACAAACATTTTGTATCTGGTGGTTGTGAACAGTTTTCTAGTTTCGACCAATCTAAGAATGTATACCGAATAATGGAATTTTCACCATTCTTTTAAGAACGTTCTGCGTGATGCCTGTCATAAGGGAGGTGGTCTTCGACAACTGAGAAATCTTAAGTCTAGGAAATCCCCCTGGTCCTGTTGACTAGCACCTAAGGCTACTGTTGCCCTTGGTCGACATTACTCAACGCTATTTGCTGAGCTATTAAATATGTTGTCATGTCAGGCTTGCTTCCAAGAGAATGGAAAGATGCCAGGATCAGCCCAGTATTCAGGGTAGGCAGTAGGCAAATTGTGACAAATTGTCATACCATTAGTTGATTGAAATGCTAGAGGAGATCATTGGGAATAGAGTGCATGGTCACACCAAAAGCCACAGTCTTCTACTTCCCTGTAACATGCTTTCTGCGATGATTTATCTTGCTTAAGCAACCTCGCATCAAAATAGGAATGGTGGAGTGACAAAAGTTTAGGATTTGATCCAACATTGCAGGCCTGGATTAAGGAATTTTTATGCAGTGGGAGACAAAGTGAGAGCGAATAATATACTATCTAAATGTCAACCTGTAGGGAATGTCGTCTCAAATGGAACAATCTCACGTCCTCTTTTTCTTTGCCCTTCACCGATGAATTCTTGGATGTCATTTAGCCACCGGCGTTTTTATTTTCAGATATTGTGAAAATGTGGAAGGTTGTCCGTAACGATGATAGACGTGGACTACAAGCGCGCCAGTCATTTGGACCAAGGATTGGTACTTGGAAATTAATCCTAGCAAATGTTTAGTCATGCATCTTGGCCATGGAAGCTGTCATCATCACTAGTACTAGTACCCGTTGTCCAAAAAATCAAAGACTTGGAAATTTTCATCAGCCAGGACGTGAAAACATCCGCACGCTGCACTGAAGCTGCAGCGGAAATGTTCTGAACATCGTGGTCTCTTCGTAAAGGATTCAGATGCCTGAGTAGAGACATGTTTGGGATATTGTACCACACATTTGTGCCGACTCTTCTCCACACTGCATTCAAGCGGCCAGTCCTCGCCTTATAAGCGATGTTGAAGTAATGGGTTGCGTTCAGAAACCCGGCACTAAGTTGATGGCTGGTGTGTCAAGCGTAACATACGATGGCAGTTTTGGGATATTAAATCTTTTCCTACTGCCTCACCGTGGGGGAAGAAGAGAGTAAATATTGGCATTGCCTATCCTAACCAGTTGCCTTTCGATTGGCGTGTCTTGTTAATTCTTTCCCCAAAGAACTGACAATCTTCAAGGCCACTACGAGTAAGTCCAAGACCACTGTCGAATCACCTTGGAGGAGTTTACGCTTTTCAGACGGAGTGATCAGCGACTGGAACTCCTTACTCAAACAAGTGATTTGAGCTCCCTCATCGGACACACTGAAGAAGAGGCTGGATCTTCACGGGAAAACCCAGTTTAAAGATTAACACAGGTGGACTGGCCTACAGTCCTTTTTACTGATAAGGAACGTGTCCTAAGACCAAAAGCTGCAGACAACAGACAGTGCGCCGCGGTCTTCGAATCATAATTTGCTTTGACTCTTAGGTCATTGTGGGCGGGTACCGAGAGCTGAGGGGTCCCACCAGTACCACAGGCGCCGCCTTCTGCGCGCTGATACGCGTGCTTACATGCCTACCAGCGTTGACAGATGTCAGCTACTTCTAAGACCAGCATAAAAGGAGGCTTTCGTCTGTCTCAAGTGTGCGTACATCCGGGCAGAGGAAATTTTGTGATGCTCGGCAACTCAGTAATGCACATGAAGACCAGTACGAGACCCAAGCCTTCGCCATGCGGCATTCCACTCTCTGCAAACTTCTGGGTGGAAAATTGAGAACTGATCCTCATTCTTTTTCTACTGCTGACAGAGAGCCCGCCAAATAACGAGAGTTGATTGTTGGGCGATTTGCATACTCGTCAGTTCTATGAGCAACCTAGACTGAGGTAACACTTTGAAAGCCCAACGAAGGTACATGAAAATGGCATCTACCGGTTTCCTTTCATCTTCCAACTTGGCCCAACCTTTTCTAAGTGTGAATAGGTCTATCAGGCAAAAAGGCCTCCACAAAAGCAATGCTGGGATGTGATAATACAGCGTCCATTTTTAGGTGTCTTTCTGATTCCTACTGCAGCATTACTGAAGCTAATCAGCTTCCAGTTTGATGTATGCTGTCTAAAACCTGCCCTGCTAATAGGTGTGGGTATGGTGTCCTCCTACTGATAGAGAAGTGTGCTTTCACCGGGGAATGATCTAAAAATAGTTACCACATTAGGTACATAGAGTGCAAGCTCTCTAAGCTGCCTTAGGCAGGGCTCATCGGGTCCCATTGTTACTTCCGCGCCCGGAGTACCTAACGCCCCGAGTACACATTTGCAGTCGAAAACCCCAGAGTTTATTCTTTTGGTGTCGATGCTTTGGATGTTAAGCCCATGCTAGCCGAAGGTTCCTGGCTAAAGTCCTAGTAAAAAATGGCTAACGGTGGCCTCTACTTTCACGTGGGAACGAAACTGCTTCGGATGGGCAAGACATTTTCCAAAGTACATTCCGAACTGGTAGATAGCAGGCATGGATTGGTTTCGAACTTCCTTGTATTGCTTGCCCACCTCAAGAATATCAGCTATCAAGTTGATAAGCAAAACCGTAACAACTTTTGTTGCATCATAACAAACTTCGGATTCACGGTTTACCCATGGAGGACAGCTTTTTCGTCTCTTCGAGGCAGTCAATATAACAAATGGTTGAGTCAATCATGCATGCATCTGTTTGATGGAGTATCTCATGGCCTCAACTGGGGCTTCTGAATAGGATGTGCAACCCTCCTAAGACACTGACGCCTTAGTAGCTGTCACGTTTGCTTTCCATACATAAGGTCAGGCTGATGTGTTAGCTTAACACAAAACGGCTTCTTTGTATCTGAGACTGATCACAGCTTGATTGCCCTTACCTATATGTGCGAGGTGCCTGAAGGGGTCCACATCTACCGTGTGGGAGAACACTAAGTCTAGAACTGATGAAGTATGCTGATAATCGTCTAAGGCATCCTTCCCAGTGTGCGGCCCGAGGGCAAATGAAACTGATGTTTTCGATGACCTGTGGTCAGACTGTGGAAAACGACCAGACGAAGGCCAGAGACTGAACTTTTATCATTGACACCCTGTACGCTGGTGATCAAGTACTGTACACTTTCCGCTAAGATACTCACTTGCACAATATGCTTCACTACCTCTCCCGCTTCCATCTTCACTTGCTATTAACACGCCCACACCGTTCCTTGCGTTCCTTTGAGCAAGACCTTCACCCGTTGCTTGTAATTCCCCATAATTTCTGCCGCCGTCTCAATATATACTACTTATACCCATTCTGAACCTCGTCTGGTTAACTAGTTCGCTATTTACCAGCCGGTCCTAAGCCCAGGCAAAGAGGGAAGGTTGGGCATAGGGCTGGCAACCCTACCCAGTTAAACAAATCCAACCGCTGAACAAACTTCAAAGCACAAACAAAATAAGAAAAATAAAAACAAAATTATTCCTCACTGGAATCTGAGAGGCGAAATGACGCCGGTTGGTGAAAGCCCTCAGGAAGTCAATTGGCCGATGTGTCTACGCTTCTCCTGATGAAAGCGTAAGTAAACATGGGGACATAGAATGTCAGCACCATGTTTGAACCTAGCAAGGCTGCCCAGATTGCAAACAAGATGAGAAGGTATCGTACTGAAGTGTTGGGAATTTGTGAAAGTAGGTGGAATGGGAGTGGAAGCTCCAAAACGTTATCTGGAGAATCAATAATCCGCTCCGATATTGTCACCCAGACGACAACTACGGGCACACCGAGTTTTGGGGTGGCTATCATGATGTCCCCAACAACATCGAAGGCTTTCTGTCATGCAGTGGGAACCAACTTCCTCCAGCATCAGGGTCATGACAGCGAGGTTCAAATCAAAAGGAAGGAAAGTCACAATCATTCAATGTTAGGCACCCACAAATAGTGCAGAGCAAGAGAAGCAGGAAAAATTTTACAGACAACGGCATTCGGCACTGGACAAGACATCAGTTGGCGACATCAAAATTCTAACGCGTGGGATGACGTGAATGTCAAACCGGGAGCTGATAACACAGAAAGAGAACTAACCATGGGTCGTGAAGCGCTAGGTGAAACGAATGAGAATGGAGAATTGTTTGCAGAATTCCGTGCATTCAACGATTTGGTGATTGAAGGCACTGTGTTCAAGCACAAGGATATTCACAAGGCGACACGGGTTTCGCCAGATGGACACACTGAAAGTGAAATCAACTTGATCTCAGTGTGAAGAAAGCGAAGACGCAGTCAGCCTACTTGACACAAGATCAAGAAGGGGAGCAGAGGTAGGTTCAGGCCACTCACTTTCTAGCGCAAGAGCCAGCCTTCCAAATCAAGTTGAAAGCCTTCAAGGAAATTTGTGATAGGCCACAGTTCAAGTTCAACACCCGCTCAGGAGAGAAACCGAAAGACGAAACCGCAAAGAAAATCTTCACATCAATCAGCCAACAAGACAAAATGGGAGACATTGAGCAACATCCCTGAAGAAACCTATGTAGATTAGCACTGGAACTCTATGAAAGCTATGTGGAAAGAAACCTGTACAACCGTATTAGGAAGGAAGAAGAAAGAAGATAAGGAATGAATCTCGACGGACACATGGAAGCTGATAGAGCACGGAGAGGAGGATGGTGGAGCAGAAGATGAACCAGTGCAAGTACGCACAGCGACAGATGGAATGGAGTACAACCTATAAAATACTGGACGAAGAAGTGAAGAAAAGTGCGCTCAA